TAAGTAATAGAGTATTGCGCTGTTGGTGGGAGAGTCACCAACGGCCAAGTGGTCACTTTCTCAGATATGTTTCAGTCGTGTTGGTGGAAAGCGACAAGTTATGGCTTCAACCACCCGAAACTTAATTGTTGTGAGACAGAGGTTATCCAGACCATGACTCTTTGACACAATCTCCTCAGCCCTGTTCAAGAAGTGACTGACTCGAGCAGCTCAATGGTAGAGAGCCACTGATATCAGAGTTTTCATCTAGAGATCTAGAAACAGTAAAGAGAAACTCGTACTTGTACTCACTCACCATCTTCAATTGCTTCAGTTGGTGTTGAAGCCTTAGAACCCCCACCCCCACTATCCGCGGCTCGGGTCGATTTTAGGAAGGTGCACGGTACGTACCCCATTACGTCGATTGCATGAGGTCCAACATGGAAGACGCACGAACCACCAACACCGAACCAAGCTACGACGACCTTCAAGGTCAACCTCAGATGTGAAGAGCTCCATCTTCTTGATATCCTAATAACAATCCATATACTTGGGCAGATACCACGATGCCTGTCCAGCAACATGTGCTGAACTGGCTCTACAGCGTTCTCACAAGCGTACGTATCTCCCTCTTCTCTCCCAAGCTTCCCCCGCTCGTTCAAAAGAGCTAACTTGAACGCGCTGCAGGAGTATCACGATGTAAACCGTGCCTACAACGATGTCGCGCAGGCTCTCGACCGATACCCCTCGCTATCGCCGCGAACCGATGTGCACAGTACGTTCGCATAGAGCTACCAACCCAGCTTGCGCTCTAAACTCCAGCCTTTGTCGCATTCCGATATTGACCCTCACCAGCGTTCTCGAACGGCGCCAATGCCTTGTTGCTTCATCTGTCGGGCACTCTCCCTGTTAATTTTCGCGGGACGACGTACCGATTCCCCGTTTCGATATGGGTGCCGCATGCTTATCCGCGAGAACCACCCATGATATACGTTGTGCCGACGGAGACTATGATGATTCGACCGGGACAGCATATTGATCCGCAGGGTCTGGTGTATCATCCATACTTGGTGGGATGGGCTGAGTTCTGGGATGTACGTTGACCCCAAGCCACAGCTACATTGTGATGTTTTGTTGCTGATAAAATGTTCAGAAATCTAACCTACGGGACTTCCTCAACATCCTAACCGACATCTTCGCAAAAGAACCTCCTGTCGTAGCTCGACAGCAACAGGCCCGACCACCTCCAGCTCAAGCTAATCCGACACCTCCTCCTGTGCCGCCTCTACCTCCTGGCATGGGATCAACTTCGCGGCCTGCAACACAAGATCCGCAACCCTCAGAACAGCCGCGCCCTCCTCCTCCACCTCCGAAGGGCCCTCGGACTGCATCACCTGCGCAGACACAATCTCAGAATGGACCGCCTTTACCTCCAATCCCGGGACGCTCCCCGGCGCAGTCTAACCGCATGTCTCGGTACGACTCAGCTCCTCCTCTGCCACCTCAAGTTGGAAGTCCAATTGCTCAGGATCCGAGATTGCCTCGCCCTCAGGAGCAGTATGCGACTCGTCATGTGCCACCTGCTGGACCGCCAATGGCTGCGCAACCTGGATACATGAACGATACCCAGTCGTTTGCGCCTCCGTCACAACAACAATGGCAAATGCCACCACATCATCAGCAATATCAACAGCCTCCGCAACCTCCGGCATGGACGGCCCAGGCAGCTCCACCACCACAAAGCCCTGCAAAACCACCACCACCTCCTGATCTACTCGATGAGCCATTAGAGTTAAGCTTGCCAAATACTACCGTGGCGGCTCCTCCTATCCCGCCCAATCCCGAAAAGGATGCGTTGTTGCGACAGTTAGCTCAGACACTGTATTCGATCAGGATGCGCAGCCGGCAGCAGAACGACTCAAGCATGGCTGGTTTGCAAGCACAAAGAACAGCAATGCTGTCAGCGATACCAGCCTTCCAAGCTGAAGGTGGCCAACTGACACAATTGTCGAATGTCTTGACGTCAAACGCTAATATTCTACACGATGCTCTTCATAAAGCGGATGCCGTGATTGAAGGATCGAAGAGCCATCCTGTTCCGGATGTTGACGAGCTCCTTGTAGCTCCTACAGTGGTCGCAAACCAGCTGTATACGCTAGTGGCAGAGGAGAGAGCTATAGGTGACGCCATATTCATGCTTGGACGGGCGGTCGAGCGCGGCCGCATCACACCAGCAGTGTTTGCCAAGACGACGAGAACTCTTGCGAGAGAGTGGTATCTGAAAAAAGCACTTGTGCGAAAGATTGGGCAAGGAATGGGCCTGGCCTCATGACGGGATACCATACGAGATTTGGATTGACGCAGCTCCCTTGCCAAGCGGGGGTTTAGTATTGTTCTTGCAGCTGGCAGCCGGGGAGAGCTCCAGGATTGGCATCGTGCATGGAGTAGCAGTTACGTGGCCAGGCACTGGGCAAACTGCGACAAGTAAGAGGCGGATTACAACATACTTTTGAAACGGAGCCAAACGATTGAGTCGACCGGATAGCTGGATGCCCGTAAAGTCTATCTTGCGATCTCAAGCCATCGATACGGCGAAGAGCTCCCGATACGGTTGAGAAAGACTGGGCAGATTAAGAGTTTACCGATCGAGACCAATGCGGATACTTAAACTCTTGATATCAGACTCCCCCTTGCACCCCATACATGACGGCAATTGGCGTGCACGGAGTCAGGAACACGGGGAAAAAGAAACGAATCCGTCGCTTGGACCGTTAGCTCTCGACCTGTCAAGATATGCACGGATCGATCTCCTGCACCGAACGAGTCTAGCGGGCTCAGAGAACAATACTAAGCCTCAAAACGCCACGAAATGCAAGAACAATACTAAGACCAACCTCAACCCCCACCGACCTTTGGCCTTCATTCTTGGTTGAATGTGATAACACCCTCTGAATACAAATCCTATTCCTTGACTACTGCAGTGCTCACATTCTTCCTTACCGCTGACAATATCATATTCCTCGCTAGCCTAACTGTTTGTTCTTCAAGACCCTTCTCGCCTGGTGTGTGATATCTGTTTTAACCATGTTGCCACTTTCTCAATTCTCTTCAACGTTATACAAGACTTGCCTTGTCACTTCACTCCCCCTCTGCTCTCTTATATATATCTTGAAGGAGCTCAGACCTCTTACTTCTCCGTTCGCTCCGTGAACTATATCCATCTTTGCCACGTTGAGACCAACTCCCCCTTTCACTTTCACTTCACTCCTTTCACTATCAGATTCACAAGCAATGTCGACCTTTGACCCGTTTACGCAGAACGTCACGTTCTTAGCAGCAGATGGAAACACCACCATCAGCATCCCCGTGATGCTCGTCGACGAGATGCGTCGCATGATGGTCAACACCGTCATCAACTATGCCACGCAGCTCGGCGCCTGTCTCGTCATGCTCGTCGTCCTCCTCGTCATGGTGCCCATCTCCAAGTTCAAGCGCCCTTTCAACGCTCTCCAGATCGTCAGTCTCGTCATCTGCTCCGTCAGGATGGTCCTGCTTTGTATCTGGAACATCTCCAAGTTTGCCGACTTTTATCCCTTCTGGTCTCACGACTTTAGCCATATTCCTACCAGTGGGTATGCGCCTGCCATCGCTGCCAATATCATCTCCCTCTTGCTCGTCATCTCGATTGAGTCGATGCTTATGAGTCAGGCTTGGACGATGGTGAAGCTGTGGCCGAATCTGTGGAAGTACATCATCGCTGGTCTTTCACTCGTCATTTCTCTCATGACGATTTGTGTGAGGATTGCTTTTACGGCTGTTCAGATCCAGGCGAATCTCGATACCATTCCGCCGTGGCACATGCTCTGGCTCATCAAGTGGACGGTCATCATGAACGTGTCTTCAATCTCATGGTGGTGCGCCATCTTCAACATCAAGCTCATCTGGCATCTCATCTCCAACCGTGGTATCCTTCCATCATACAAGACACTCACCCCAATGGAGGTCCTCGTCATGACCAACGGTCTCCTGATGATCATCCCAGGCAAGTCTCTCCCTCCCTCAACCCCTTGAACCACTCACTAACACTCCACAGTCATCTTCGCCTCTCTTGAATGGGCTCACTTCGTCGACTTCGAAGCAGCATCCCTAACCCTAACATCCGTCGCCGTCATCCTCCCCCTCGGCACCCTCGCCGCCCAACGCATCGCCGCCAGCAACGCCAACAGCGCCAACTCCTCCGGCGCCTCCAGCGGCATCCGCTACGGCGTCAGCGGTCCCAGCTCCTTCACCGGCTTCAAGGCACCCAGCTTCAGCACCAACCGCAGCGGCGCCACCGACAGGCCTCACGTCTCCGTGTACGCCCGCTGTGAAGCAGGGACTTCATCCCGCGACCACATCAACCCCGAGGATGTTGAGCTCGGCAAGATGGACGGTGACCATGTCCGGGTTGACAAAGCCTTCTTGCAACGTGAAGAGCGGATCTAGACCACCTCTCTTTCAAGTTCTCAGCTTCCGCGAAAAGACTGCTTTTGGGAAATGGTATTACATGTTCATGCTTTCGACCAAAACAAAACTTCTAGCGCGGCGTATCGGCACAAGTTGCTTTTCTTCATTTTCACTGCTTTTCTTAGCGAACAGCTTTCATACCCAATGCGGTTGTTGATGATGCTTGAGATAAACTCGCATCCTACTTTCTTTAGTTTATGATATCTCTTTGGATCGATGTCTTTTAATCAAGGACGATACTATCCATGTCTTGCTTCTCTAGTTAAAAGATGGATAAGCGCTCAGGCGCACAATAGCGATGAATACATTCAGCTTGCCAACTCTCCTTTGTATACTGTGATGTCCAATGTCAGTACAGAGTCTTATGTTATCAGCTGCAAGTAAGACAGTCAGAATGTGATGTGAGTGATTGACACTATATACTGTATAACAACTACCATCCAAGCCCGAGTCGCACCAAGATAACATAACCAAGCCTACTCCTTCATCTGGAACTTGTGCGATGAGGCATTTATCTACTCGCTGCGGCCTCCTGACATCTTTCTGACCTTTTCCTTGCACAAACTAACAAGTCGCTTCAGCTCATTCGCGCGTACCGGTCGAGGTTGCTCCAACTCACAGACTACCTTGGAGACCAATGTGCTGTGCGCGGCTACAGTCTCAGGATCATTCTCAAGAAGCTCGATGAGTTCAAGTTCCTTTTCAATGTCGGGTAGAGAAAACCGGTTTGCCTTTCGGGAGAGGGCATACTTGGTGTGAGAGAATCGCCTTTGAGGTTCTGCGAACAAAGGAGGCGGCGCTACACTAAGTCCAGGCTCTCCATCTATGTTGAAGCCTGCTTGAGTGATGGAAGTTCGAGGGAGAGACGATCGCTTTTCCAGCGAAAGAGGCGAGATGATATCGTTGGTGAGAAAAGTTTGGCCGAGAACGGGCTGACCAGGAACCGCATCAATTGAACGGGGTGATAGCGGTTCGTCATTTGCAGATTCAACACTCTGACCACCCTGCACCACAGTATCTTCATCGGAGCCCCTAACTTGGGAGGGGGCGATATCTCTAGAACTTGTAGTGCTCCATTCTGAGGGTATCCTTCGATAAGATGTAGAAATTCGTCGAAGGGTACCCTTGAAGCTCCTCAGAGGACCAACAGCAGAACTCTTTCGCTTGATCTTGAACATAGATTGCTTACTAGTCTCAATGGGACGGGGAGAATCGAGCGAAGGGACCTGGCGATCAAGGGACTCAAACAAGTCGATCTTTTGCTTCAAAGGTGAAATGTGCTTCTCCGTGTTACGCCGTCCAGCTGGAGTTTGTGGACTTTCCACCGTAGCTCGGCTCCCACGGGGAGCATAACTTTTTGACCTGAATTTTGGCGTGTTCAGCATTTCGGACTCCGAAGAATCGGAGTATCCCAAAAGAGGATGCTTCGATGGCGAGCTAGACGCCGAAGTCTTGGTTAGGATTGACTCGCGCCGTTTTGTTTCAAGAGGAGCAACAGAAGCCACTGGCTGATCCTTCAATTGATCAAACTGCTTTCTGAGGTTGGAGATCCTAGAGCGTGGTAGGCTTGAGTGACTCGGGGTACTTGCTCTCGCGAACCTGAACGACATAAGGCCGCCGCTATTGCTCGGAGGTTGGCTGGGAGCATCAGGGGATCCACGGGATTTCCTTCGCAGGCTTGAACTTCCTGCAGAGACTGTATTTGACAACGAAGATGCTATCTTGCGAGCATTTCGCACCCAGCCATTCTGCCGGGTCTCTTCGATTATGACGTTCTTTTCAACAAAAACATCATCATGGACATCGTCAAGCTTGAATCGACTCGTAGATACCGCCTGTACAGACGATGGTGTCAGTTCTGTGTACTGAGACTTGATGTAGCTTGGACTCGCGTCCGGCGCACTCATGACGAGGCTGCTACGCTTGAAAGAAGTCCATGAGTCGTCCGGCCGATTCAAAGGAGATCGCCATGTGCCAAAAGGATCATCAGAAGCCAGAAGTGTCCTAGGCGAAGGAATAGTATGAGACGTGGGCGAGAATGTTTTTGCAACGTGCACTGGGATCGGTGTAGTGGGAACATCGTCTTCTCTTGGCTCTGCTGCTGACCGTCTCGTCTTGATCGATTGCCAACTTTTGGAGTGAGCCAACTTGGACGGTGAACGAGGAATGGAAGTACGGGTTGGACTAGAGGCTTCTATTTCTACCAGACAGTCAACTTCTTTCTCCAAAAGATGCACTTGAAACACGTACGCGCCTGTTGGCCTGCAGCCTCAAATATTATTCGTCTCTCTGCCACAGACTTTTGCCTTGCCTTTGATTCCGCATTTCTAGTCGAGATCATAGGCGACTGGGCACCAAAGGTTTTCACCCGACGGGTACGAGGGGGTTCTTGGCTTGAAGGAACGAAACGACTGGATGAGACATGGCTAGAACCCGTTGAGCCTCTTTCTCGTCTTGTTGTTGATGCGTGGGATGATGGCTTCGAGGCGCTCGATGAAGTTTGTTCAATTGTCGAAGTGACCTTGATGGCAGAAGTGGGCTTTATCTTTGACGAAGGAAGAGGAGGGCTGCCGACGGAGGAGACTGCTTCAAGGACTTCAAACTTGGAGAGAAGCTGGGCGAACTTGCTGCTGGTCAAGCTGCGTGTATCTGAGCTTTCGGAGACGAACTTGCGTGGTGAATTCTTGCGGGAAGACGAATGAGTGCTCATGTTGGCGGCCTTCAAAGACGGGCGAGGCTGGGATATTGATGAAGATCACGTCTTGATGGTATGATATCAAGAGAAAGTGTCAAATGGCGATGCCGTCAAAGTCTGTTGAAAAGATGAGGATGAATCTGCCTGGAACAACATTGTAGAGTAGAAACGACAGAGATGTCATTGGATGAATTTGGCAGCAGGAGACTGTAAGGCCATGGTCAGAGATGGCAGGAGCACCCTCGCCCGATCGCATAACCTGGAAGGAAAGCACGATGCTGATGAACATACCTACCGAGGGAGCAATACACCGCAAGCCATATCCTCAAAAACAAGTGTCTCCAAGTCTGTTGTGGTTAGCATAGCAAAGTCGAGTCTTCACAGAATACAACCCAGCCTCAGGAGCCAAACAGGAGTAGGGGAGACGTCTTATCATTTACAACCCCAACCATAACGGCCATGTCGATTTCTATACAGCCCATATCATAATGCCCAAGTCAGGCACAGGCCAACCTTGAAATCCCATCGTGTCTAAACGTACACTGACGCCAACTAATGTACAAGTATTTCGATTATGTAGTTCATGAGGGATGCGCAATCCCAACTCATGACTTTTTCCCCTCCTCTCCAAATTCTTGATCGCGTATCGTTGCGGCGTCATTTACTGGCTGTCCAGGAATCAGTTCGTGTTTCGTCGAGACTCGCATGTCGGGTTCAACTTACGGAGGCAGAAGGATCTCGCCCCAAGAGCTAGACAAGAATGTCACAGCAGCCTATTCCCTTGATCAGCACGAACTCATCTTGAATTCAATATCGCGAGACCAAACTTACACCAAAGATGGCAATGCTGCGTACGACAGCGGCGTTGTCGGGAGAGGTAAGAGCGTCATAGGTGGAGCCGATGAAGCCCTTGGGCGCACGGCGGCCGCGAGGCTCAACTGGGACGCGCTTGGGAGGCATTGTGATTATATGGTTGGGTATGTGAAGTTTATCGGCTCGTGGTGACTTTAAGTCGAGAGGAGAAGTGGGCGCGTGGTGGTGGTTGATCTGGTCGTCGAATTGAAGCGAAAATTTCCGGTACAGCTCGCAATGAAGCTTTTCCACTGATAGCGCGATAGCGGCTAAGGTCACATGACGCGCGCTTTGAGCAACAACTTGGAGGTTCAAAGTCAATAGAAAGGAAGAAAATAATAGAATTATTTAAATTAATCTGTGTTAGGATGAAGTATTATAGAAGTCTGGTTCATTTCATTTCCTCAAAAATCTCTACTTGTCATAGTTGTACTTATTGATGTTGGTCCAGCTCTCTCAAAGACTGAGCAGGTAGCCAAGTACCGAATCCGGCAGTTACCCCACCATGACTTAGTATCGCCAACACCTTCGTCATCCTTATCGCAAGCTTATCTGAAATGTAAACGGAACAAGTCTCTTTGTCAGCGGACAGTTATACAAACTTCATTTAATTCTTTCAGAGATAATACTCATATTCTTTCGAGCCTCACGTAGATACACCAAGGTCCTTTGCAGTATTTATTTACCCGTCTGTCCATCGTTCTGGTGAAGAGAAGCATAAAGCAACAGTACTTCACTCTCTAGGTTCTCTCTGCCAGAATAAGCTCACAGCCACAAACTGCAAATAACACTTCTAGCCCACGTACTTAACTCTCATTGACCCCCGCCGCTCACTCTTTGTGCTTTCAACTCTCGATCTTGCACTCAGACAACCCAGCTTAATCACAAGGGGAAGAAATTACATACTTTCAGAATGGAATCGCCAGGCCCAGGTGGCTTCTTGCCAGCACCAGCCGGTGCAAGTCTCCCATCTCCTGCTCCCTCATCAGCTTCATCATTCTCAAACATCCAAGGCCTTCCTACACCGAGAACAAAGGCTTTGAAGCCCAACTCAAGTAAAGAGTTCATGGTGCGAAGGTATGCCGAGGAACAGCTCCTACTAGTAACACGGAAATACGTCAAGAAGTTTGGGAATCCAGAACCCGGCGATACAGTGGTGGGATATACTAGGTTTGGTGAAGTATGTCGAGATCTCGATAGCATCACCAATGTCTTGTGGAAATCAGGCACTCGTAAGTCAGTCAAATCGATGCATCGAAGCCTGGAGCTAACAATGGGCAGCATCCCTCCAAATACCCTTCTTATTACGACTCACAAGCGACTTCACACGCTATGTCCGCTCATTCCCGCCAGCACCAAAAGCATCTTTCGCAATACTCCGCAAACTAGATCACTGCTTCGCAAGTCTTCTCTCCGGCCAAGACATCGAAACTCACGAGACATTACCTGGTTTTGAGAACGGGCTACGCGGCGGCATGACGACGACAGAAATGATTCGCTGCCGAAGTTTAGTAGATCAATGTCGCGTTTTGATGGTGGAAGTAATGCGAGATCCAGCAGAAGAAGACGAGGAAGAAGAAGAAGCAGATACAGATACCGAGACAGACGCGGAAGAACCTGGGATCAAGGGATGGGGAGGCGTGGAGGACGATGATGAGATGATGCTCCAGCTTGATGCGGCGCGGGTCTTTGAGAAGACGATTGTGCAGCTCAACGAGAGGCTTGGTGATCTGGAGCCATTGCAGATGTCTGCTGATTGAAGTGTTCTAAATACAGAAGCACTATATTCTGGAGATTCAGGTGCCGCGTTCAACGAGCTGGAGTGACTGGTTTCAGGCGAGATCATGCGCAGATACGAGCTGAATGCCTTAGAACCGGTCATCTTGTGGGGTGAGCATTGATCATGGTGCTCGGCTGCAGGACCATCTTGGGTCGTGCTTGGCGAAGAGAGATGGGTAGATGGGCCAGCTCTTCTATGATATGGGGATAATAGAGGATTTGATAAGGTTGGTAGATCAGTGGGGGATGAAGCGAATGACACCGGCACAGACAGTTGATTGTCAAGATCACGCCTGGTATTAGATATCCGAGAATCGTCGCAAATCTACGATGAATCAGTCATCTATAATTGACCGCGACTCGAGAATTAGTTGCGTACAGTAATAATGAAACTACCATTTAATTGACTACACGTTGCTGGGCCATGAGCTGTCAATTGAGGCTTTGACTGGCCTCACCTGTCAAATCGTGAAACACTGCACGTCGGAAATTTAATTACCAGTTCTCGACACTACCAAAAAGCCAAGCCTCCACTGCCCTGAACATTTTGACTTTCCGAATCGTAGATCATGTTAATGATTGACAGTAGCATAAACTCTAACTGATTGCCTCACGGTAGCCGAGATGCACTTTTCTCGAAATGGCAATGAACCATAACGATACGAATAAACATCTCTGAAAATACAATGACTGAATTATTTACTGAACTACTCCGTAAAGATGCATAATATCGTGTCTTGATGATCAAGATCAGACTGTGGCATGTCCTTGTTAGCCTCTCTTCATCCCTGACACCTCCTTTCTTGAGCCGCGTAGGCTTTTTATCCCCGTTGGTTAATGATTCTCACGGTTTTGTTTCATGTACCTGCCAAGATCCAAGCACCATCCATGTCCACCACCAGTAACCGCTCACCAAACTCAGTACCTTATTTTCAGAAACAATTTCACCAAAATAAAAGACTCTTTTCCTTTCGGAGATGACTTTCTTGTCTAGTATGAATGGTCTGGGATTCATATTGGTCGGCGAGAGCGAAAATGATATCCATGTTTTTCTTTGACCCCTGGTTTTTATTTCCGATGGCACTAGTTAGTTAGTCCCGGTTCATATGCTGCCACGCACGTTTTCTGTGAAGAAAGTTGTGAAGATGTTGTCAAGAGTGCATTATCTCGTAGAGCATTAGGCATGAATGTGCTGTACAATATTAACTTGGCACATCGTGGTTGGTGGTGTATACAGACTACAGACAGCATCAACTCCAGCCTTGGCTTCTCAAGCTCCATATCAAAACTCCTCTCAACAACGAATCAACTCTAGAACAAATCTTCAAAACATAGCGTCTTCCAACCCCTGCCCTCTCGTTTTGTGGCGTACCTATCCCGAAGTGCTAGCTCCATTCCCATAAACCCATCCAGTCATCCTCCTCCCGTCCCTGAACATCACCCGCCCGCCCAGCCTTTGATTCATGCATCACCATTCTACCCCATGTTCTCCATGCCCCTTTGGGCAACTGAGCTCCGAGGTGAACAGGAAACATCTGGTCCTCACATCTCGTTTCTGTCTCCCCTAGCATGGAGAGGACTCCACCCATAAGAGCCGTATATATAGAACAATGCGCTTGTAAACTCGTCTCGTCTTCTTCTTCTCCACACCAGTCTTTCTTTCTGTGTCTTGACGTTCTTTTCTGACCTCTTTGCTTTCGAGATACGTGTGTCTCAAGCTTCTTTCGTTCCTTTTATATACATCGCCTTCTCCGGTTTCATTCCTTTAGCCCTGGAGGCATAACATTCCTTACCTGTGACATTTGTTCTCGTCCACTCCTTTAGAATTCAGTATCAAAGACACATATTACAGTTTCGATCAGTTCCACTCCGACTTACACGATGCTCAACTTCATTCCCATCATCGCAGGCCTCGCCTCTCTGGTCTCAGCTACCAGCGCTCCAACACGCCCCGATCTCAAGCTCATCTGGAAAGACGAGTTCACCGGGTGTCAAGGCTGCTCACCCAAGACGAACAACTGGAACACTGCTCTCAACATCAACTCCAACAACGAACTCCAGACGTACTCCACCTCCAACAAGAACATCCAACTCTCCGGCGGTGACACCCTCCAGCTCGTTCCCTGGAAGGATGGGAAGGGCGAGTGGACTTCTGGACGTCTCGAGTCCAAGAAGTCTTTTCATGCAGACAAGAACAAAGCTCTTCGCGTAGAGGCTAGTATTCGCATGGGTGATTCAGCTCGTAAGCAGGGTATCTGGCCTGCCTTTTGGATGCTCGGCGATGCACTCCGCCACGGAACTGGATGGCCTCTTTGCGGCGAGATCGACATCTTCGAGAGAGTTAACGGCGACTTGACTGGTTTCGGTACTGTTCACTGTGGTCATGAGGGCGGTGGCCCCTGCAATGAGCCCGAGGGTCTTGGACAGCGGGTTACCATTCCGGATAACGAGTTTCATGCTTGGTCTGTGGTTATCGACCGACGGGCCAGCAGCTGGCAGGATGAGAAGATCACTTGGCTGCTCGATGGAGCGCCTTTCCACAGCATCACGGGCAAGACACTCAACGATGAGGGAACTTGGGCTACTCTGGCTCATTCTCCAATGTACATTCTCCTCAACGTTGCTGTTGGCGGAACCTGGCCTGTATGTTCTAACCATTATTCGTGTCTCAAGGGGTCAGAAAACTAATCATTTATGCAGGGCAACCCTAACAAGGCCACCGAAGCCGGCTACAAGAACATGATGGAGGTTGCCTACGTCGCCGTCTACGAAACCACAAACTAGCTACCCAAAACTTGTTACAAACTTCTTCTGCCAGCTCTTGTCTGGCACTTTCTTCATTTTCTTGTCACCCCCATTTATGTGAGGGTGAACGACTATCGAGTGTCTTTGAGACTGGTCTCTCTGTTCGCCTCGACGGTCATTTGCTGGATTGAACCCAGCTTTGTCTTGTTTCCAGTTCCGCTGTCTGATGACTTGTGGATACTCAAGTTTCAACATACCTACAGTGGATCAATTAGATAGGTATCTAGATATAAAAACAAGACTCACGACGTTACGACACAAACTTACCCCCCAACTCAACAATGTGACCTGTGCTTTGAGACTGAATTAGACAATATTCTACAGTCATGTAAGTTCTGTAACATATTTATTGCTCTTGAGGTATTTACTCTAGTAGTTGGTACGATGAGCATCCTGAAAACAAGCTTTTGGGGGGATTGGTCGATGGGTTCCAGTGGCATGAAAGCCACATCCATATGTAAGGCCCCGTTTCCATGGAATAGTAGGGAACTGGATACCACCCAGGGAGCAAGAAAACTTCTTATATTGCCGGAGCACTGCAGTTAACTGGTCTCAAGCCTTGCTAAGATAAACTAAACTTGTCTTAAGTTTTCGTCCTACTTGAGGGTCCTTTGTTTCTTGCCTTCCTCAGCTCCCTTTGGAGGAATGGATAGCGGCAAAAAGATCAACCTGATAATACCTTGTTATTCTTGTCATCGTCAGAGGTGAACGGGGCAACACTCGATGCTTAATCAAATCTGCAACTTGTTCACTCTTTCGCTTGAAGGGACGTTATGGAGGAAACTGTGTCAATATTGAACAAGCCTGCCAAGTCTTATAGCCAGTTGTCGCTGACAAGAGGCTATCTATGTGTCTAAATATATACAATGAAGATCTAATATGTACAACAAGGGTCGAACACCTGGTCCAGGATGCCATGCTATACAACGACAAGCCTGCTCATGAGAGGATCCCTTCTGAGACGTTTTATGGTCTCTCCCACAACACCGATGGATCTACCATTTAGTTGGGGACGCATTGGGAGTAGTACTCGTTCTGCTTGATACACTTGCTTCCAGTAGCGCAAGCGAGGTTGCCGTTGGGATAAGCGGACTTGGAACCACCACACTGGTAATAAGCAGGGACAACGGAGGCCTTGGCGGTAGCGTCAGTCTTGGCCGGGCAGCTTCCTCGGGTTTTGGTTCCACGGACCTTCTGGGTTGTCTTGGGCTTGTTGACAGGTTGAGCGGGCTTGGTGGCAGCAGGCTTGGTGGCAGCAGGCTTGGTGGCGACAGGCTTATCGGTCTCGGGCTTCACAGCAGGCTTGGTAGAGGAGGGCTTCTCAGCGGGCTTAGTGGGCTCGGGCTGAGTGGCAGTCTTGGTGGAGGACTTCTGGACAACAGGAGCGGAATCCTTGGTCTTCTGGGGCTGAGCGGCAGCAGAAACGGATGTGGTCTTCTTAGCGGAGCTGGAGGCCTGGGGCTTGCTGGCCGAGGTATCACCCTTGAAAGCAGGGAAGCTGGAGTCGTCATCACGCTTGCATCCACTGATGTCGAGGAGAGCCTTGGGGCACTGGACCTGCTCGAAGGTGAAGTCAGGGTTGTCGGCGTTCTCGAACCAGTCGAATCGCCAGTGGCAGCCGTCCTTGAGAAGCTCGGGGAAACTATCACACTCGCTTCGGGAGGAGATACCGCCGTACTGAGCACCGCCGAGGGCCTTGCCGAACTCAGAGGTGCAGCCGTCGAAGATACCGACACCACCGCCGGGCATCATGAGATCGAAGTGGTTGTCGCCAAGATCACCTCCAGTGTTGGTGGACTGGACGATCATCTTCTTGCCCTTGACGGGGCCAGTAGTGAAGGTCAAACTAGAAAGAGTCAGCGTGTTGTGAGACATAAGTTAATAAAAAGACTGACGCATAGCAAGCACAGCACCAGCTGGCCTCGGAGCCACCGGAGATCTTGGTAGCAGCGAAACCATAGGCAAGCTCGTCGTTGACAGCCCAGGGAGAGTAGTTGGTGCAAGCATAAGCAGAACCACCGCCCTCACAACCGTTGACGGCGTTGGTGTTGGAGATGGGGTTGTCGTTCTTGTCACAAGTCAAAGCAGGGGCGTTGACAGCAGCCTTTCCACTCCAAGAGCAAGAAGGCTTGCAGCAATCCCAGTATCGAGTAGAGTGACCGCTTCCAGAAGCAGCACTCACGGCGAGAGGGCCGGCCAGGGCGAGAAGAGTGTAAGATCGCATTGTTGCAAAAGTTGGGTTGTTTAAAGAGTGACTGTTTTGAAAGAGAGTGTATGTAATTCTAAAGAATGAATGAAGTGAATGAATGAATGAGAAGGCAGTGCTCGAGTGTCCAGCAACCAGAACATCGGGACGCAGACCTCATCTTATATACAACCGCCCAACCCTCAGTCCCGCGCAAACCCAACTCCCGCGTATTCAGCCTATGCTGCGCCGTGAGCAGTCAGATATCATGAGCACATTTGCGTCCAAGTGGTCAGTTAGTCTAAATCAAACTAGCGCAGGTACAAATTCAAGGATCACCAAAAGTCAAGATGACAAGCTGATGGTGGTGCAATGATTGGACCCAGTCAGCATATCGGGAACGGGAAACAGATCCTCCACTAATAAGACGTCTAGGAGCTGGTCTGACGGACAAGGGACGGCAAGGCTGGACCGAACGAGTGAGAAATGAAGTCTAGGAGACTTTGGTTTCAGGAACAGCTATGGGGAAATTGACAACGGTTTTCGGCCGTGTCTCCCGAGATTGGGCCCGAGTGGCAGGGATAGAGATTGAAGCAGACAAAGGCGATGGTTCTAGAAGTGGTAAAGACTGGCTGCATGATACAGGTGGTTAATAAGAAGCGATGCCGTTTATACCGTAGACGCTGGAAATGAGATGAGAAATAATCCTTCTAGAATCCTCTGGTGGTTTAGCGCTGGGGGGAGGCTGTTGGTGACATGGTGTAAGTGGCCCCTGGGATATGGGTGATGGGTGAGCTACTGTAGCGTTGCCGGATGGAACGTTGATGCGAATCGTGCGCCAAGAGGTGAAACAGATAGACTTTGAGATGGCGGATGCGACGGATCGTCGGCACTTTTAAGCACTTATTATGAAGCCGCGATGGCTTCAAGTTGCGGTGCAGTCAAAGTATGTAAGGGGTCTATTTATCTTAGCTCCGGGGTCAAGATTGATTAGGACTAATGTATAAATACTAAGGGTGGTGGAAGAGCATATGCCGGTATGCTTCTTGGATTCCAGTCTATGTGAGTTCGCAACGAGGTTCTTATTGACTCTACTGGGAGTACCATAAGCTTAGTGCATGAGTTTATCTGTCTAGAGTGAACTCTATGTTGTCGTAGTGCTAACACTACAGTCTCAACTTTATTTTTCTCAATGTTGGACCTGGTTGTGCACTCAGTATTCTGGTTGCTTATCAGACGACTCACCCTGCTCGCGGAGATTAATCTCGCAGTTACCAACAAGTTATCACGAAGGTTACCGTAGTTGAGCTGATACTGAGACCAATATTTGAACTGAATAATGCCGCAAAATGTGTAACTTCTCCTTCTGTTCTTGCACAATGGAATGGTAGAGTTGGTTCGAGAGAATATGAGCTGTTTTGGCCAAGATCTGCTTACCCTAGACTGTCGGAACGAAGATTGTCTTTTTGTCAAATCGAGCATGGATTAAAAGTTGACTGAAACTCAGCCACAGATTATGGGTCTTGGACGCCACACATCACCCGCCCTGGACCCTGGACCACACAGGATTATTCATCAACGTGGCGTTCTTTTCCTGACCTAACCACATCAGAATTAGCGCATTCTGGGCGCGTCTCGTCGCCTCAACCTCAGGCTCCTGAATGCTTAGTGAGGATTCATTGTAACAAATTCATCACCTCTCCACCACGACCCTTCACCTCGCGCATTCTTCAACATCGCTCTATCTCCTGGCTTGAGATTCCTGTCGACCTGTCCAACTCATCGGCAGATGCTCACGGGGTGCATCAGGCGCCAGGTCCAAAACTGACCGCCCTGACTTCGCTGTCGTAGCTCCTTTGTCCTTCTTTGAATAATTTCGACGCAACTGCCTAACGGGCGCAATCCATCGATTCGAGCAGCAATATCTTGTCGCTAACCTCTTAATACCCCGAGAACTCGATCACTGTATTTATAGCGACAAATACCGACACCATGGACGACTACGAGAACGAATCCGACTACGATTATGGCTACGATGAGGGCATCACCCCCGAGGATTGTTGGACCGTAATCTCGTCCTTCTTCGAGACAAAGGGCCTGGCATCGCAACAGACCGACTCCTTTGACGAGTTCACCCAGACAATGGTGCAGGATCTCGTCAACGAGTACTCCACCATCACCCTCGACCAGCACAACCCTCCTGCGCCTCCTGGAGTCAACATCGCTTTGCGACGATATGAGATCAAGTTTGGGAGCGTCATGGTGTCACGTCCCTCTATGAGCGAGACTGATGGAACTGTGACCAACCTCCTACCTTACGAATGTCGTGACCGCAACCTCACCTACGCCGCGCCGACCTACCTCAAGATCACCAAGAAGGTCTCCGTCGCAGTCGACAAGGAGGTCCCTTTGCACGAGATGGACGACGAGCAGCAGGCCGAGTACAAGCGAACCGGCGAAAACCCCACAAAGCTGGTTTGGGAAGTCGAGGAGGATGCTGGAAGCATAAAAGCTGAGGATGAGCCCTCGGAGATGATCTTTATCGGAAAGATGCCCATCATGGTCAAGTCCAAGATTTGCCATCTGAGCAGCCATTCTGACGAAGACCTCTTCATGCTCAACGAATGTCCTTATGATCAGGGCGGTTACTTCGTTATCAACGGTAGTGAGAAGGTCCTGATCGCCCAGGAACGTTCTGCCGCCAACATCGTTCAAGTCTTCAAGAAGGCCCAGCCTAGTCCTTTCACCTACACTGCTGAAATCCGCAGTGCTCTTGAGAAGGGCTCTCGTCTTATCTCTAGTCTTACGATGAAGCTCTACGGCAAGGGAGACTCTGCACGAGGTGGCTTTGGCCAGACTATCCAGGCTACCCTGCCTTTTGTCAAGGCAGATCTCCCTGTCGCCATCGTCTTCCGAGCTCTTGGTGTTGTGTCTGATGAGGATATTTTGAACCACATTTGCTACGATCGCAACGACAGCCAGATGCTGGAAATGCTTCGCCCTTGTATTGAGGAGGCTTTCTGTGTCCAGGACCGAGAAGTTGCTCTCGACTTTATCGGAAAGCGTGGAAACAGAGACCAGGCTAGTCTCGGTCGTGAGAAGCGTGTTCGAGTTGCAAAGGATATTCTCCAAAAAGAGACCCTTCCTCACATCTCCCAGTCAGAGGGTAGTGAGACACGTAAGGCCTTCTTTTTGGGTTACATGGTGCACAAGCTTCTCCAATGTGCTCTTGGACGTCGTGAGCCCGATGATCGTGATCACTTTGGCAAGAAGCGACTTGATCTGGCTGGTCCTCTGCTGGCGAAGCTCTTCCGTGGTATCATTCGAAGGATAAACACTGAGCTCTCCAACTACCTCAAGCGATGTGTTGAGAGCAACCGAAACTTCAACCTGACTGTCGCCATCAAGCCATCAACGCTTTCCAATGGTCTCAAGTACTCTTTGGCCACTGGTAACTGGGGTGATCAGAAGAAGGCAGCAAGCTCGACAGCTGGTGTCTCTCAGGTGTTGAACAGATACACCTTTGCTTCTACTCTTTCACATTTGCGCCGAACCAATACTCCCATTGGACGAGATGGTAAATTGGCCAAGCCTCGACAGCTTCACAATACTCATTGGGGCTTGGTGTGTCCCGCCGAAACACCTGAGGGTCAAGCTTGTGGTCTGGTCAAGAACTTGTCTCTGATGTGTTATGTCAGTGTCGGCTCTCCAGCCGAACCTCTTATTGAATTCATGATCAACAGAGGTATGGAAGTCGTTGAGGAGTACGAACCGACAAGATATCCCCACGCCACAAAGATTTTTGTCAACGGTAGCTGGGTTGGTGTTCACGCCGACCCCAAGCATCTCGTGAATCAGGTTTTGGATACAAGACGAAAGTCGTACGTTCAGTTCGAAGTATCACTTGTTCGTGATATTCGAGACCGTGAATTCAAGATCTTCTCAGATGCTGGTCGTGTCATGAGACCCGTCTTCACAGTCCATCAGGAGGATGACTACGAGAACAACATCACCAAAGGACAACTAGTGTTGACAAAGGAACATGTCAATAGGCTAGCCCAAGAGCAGGCAGAGCCACCTGCCGACCCCGCGGACAAGTTTGGATGGGACGGTTTGATTCGCGAAGGAGCTGTCGAGTATCTCGACGCTGAGGAAGAAGAGACAGCCATGATTTGCATGACGCCAGAGGATCTCGAACTTTACCGTGAACAGAAGAATGATGAAGCTACACTCACGGAAGAAGAGAAACGGGCCAAGGCAGAGGCAGAGAAGAGGGAACAGGAGGAGGATCGCAACAAGCGATTGAAGACAAAGGTCAACCCCACAACTCACATGTACACACATTGCGAGATTCACCCCAGTATGATTCTCGGTATTTGTGCCAGTATCATTCCTTTCCCCGATCACAACCAGGTATGTATTTCCTATGATCAAATGAACCCAACTAACAGCAACAGTCTCCTCGTAACACCTACCAATCTGCTATGGGTAAACAAGCCATGGGTTTCTTCTTGACAAATTACTCTCGCCGCATGGACACCATGGCCAACATTCTCTACTACCCTCAAAAGCCTCTCGCCACTACCCGATCCATGGAGTTCCTCAAGTTCCGCGAATTGCCAGCTGGTCAAAATGCCATTGTCGCAATTGCTTGCTACTCAGGTTACAACCAGGAAGATTCCGTCATTATGAACCAGAGTAGTATTGATCGAGGTCTGTTCCGAAGTCTGTTCTTCCGATCGTACTCAGATCAAGAGAAGAAGGTCGGTCTCAACTACACTGAAATCTTTGAGAAGCCTTTCCAGCAGACAACACTTCGCATGAAGCATGGAACATACGACAAGCTTGACGAGGATGGTATCGTCGCGCCTGGTGTCCGTGTGTCAGGTGAAGATATCATTATCGGCAAGACTGCACCCATCGACCAAGAAAACCAGGACCTTGGCACAAGAACTCAGTCGCATCAGCGTCGTGATATCTCGACACCACTGCGAAGTACTGAGAACGGTATCGTTGATCAAGTCATTCTGACAGTCAACGCCGATAACGTCAAGTATGTCAAGGTTCGAGTGCGAACCACCAAGATTCCTCAAATTGGTGATAAGTTTGCTTCTCGTCACGGTCAGAAGGGTACAATTGGTGTTACATATCGACAGGAGGATATGCCTTTCAGCCGAGAAGGTCTTACTCCTGATATTATTATCAACCCTCACGCCATTCCGTCGCGAATGACAATTGCCCATTTGATTGAGTGTCTTCTTAGCAAGGTTTCGACACTGGAAGGTATGGAGGGTGACGCTACACCATTCACTGATGTCACAGTCGATTCAGTCTCAGAACTTCTGAGAAAGCATGGTTACCAATCTCGAGGTTTCGAGGTCATGTACAATGGCCACACTGGACGAAAGCTGCGTGCCCAGGTGTTCTTCGGACCTACCTACTACCAGCGTCTTCGTCACATGGTAGACGACAAGATTCACGCTCGTGCTCGTGGTCCAGTCCAGATCATGACCCGACAACCTGTCGAGGGTCGTGCTCGTGATGGTGGTCTCCGATTCGGAGAAATGGAACGTGATTGTATGATTGCTCACGGTGCCGCTGCTTTCCTGAAGGAGCGTCTGTTTGAAGTGTCGGATGCTTTCCGTGTCCACGTCTGCGAGATTTGTGGACTCATGACACCAATTGCGTAAGTCATCCCTGCAAATACTGATGAATAAGAGCTAACATTGTCTCAGAAACCTTTCCAAACAGTCGTTCGAATGCCGACCTTGCAAGAACAAGACCAAGATCGCGCAAATCCATATTCCCTACGCTGCCAAGCTGCTCTTCCAGGAGCTGCAGGCCATGAACATCGCCGCAAGAATGTTTACCAACAGATCTGGAGTTTCTAACCGATAGTTTAGATTGCTTACGAAAAAAAGATTGACGATGCATAAAATATTGGAGAGAGGGAAAGCTTTGGCAGCGCTGCAAGACAGGATCAGCTTGCCTGAGCTTTGTAATGTTTTGGGGAGGTTCATCATGTATAAAATAGCCAATTCGTTAGGAAACATAGCAAAAAACAACGAAATGCATTGATGCAACAAAAAATCTTTAATGGCGCCGTAGTCGCTAGAGAGGAGTATGATGATAGTACACGTTTTCCGATTCACTTTTCCCGCCGTTCTTGGTGTTATCGATTCGGTAGATCTTTCTCCGCCGCTGCTATCGAGTCGTGCACTGTTTGCTCGCGCTTGTATTCTGCCTCGAGTTGTTTTTGCAAGTCAAAGTCAAGTTGTCTTTCTCGCTTGATTCGTTGCTGTTCCATATCTCGAACGACGCCCTCGTGCATGGCCTGCGATCAAGGTTAGCTGAGAGTTCTGGGGGATAAATTGGAGGATCAATTGAGCAGTGGGAAACGTACGGCTTGTTCGAACTTTTGCTGGAAGTGTACGGCGACGACTGTGGTGACTGTGAGGAGCGATGTACCCAGTAGGGTGAGCTTTGATGCTCGAGACATGGTGCCTCAACGTCTTCTTCGGGGTCGGGAAGGGTGAGTTCAGTGATCGCTGGGGAGATTAATCGGTTTGCAACAGGTAAGAAAGGCCAATTGACCCGACTAAAGATAATTCTAGTACAATTTATTCTGGGAAAGATTATGATCACGTCGCAAAAGAAGGGACTTTGTCAGCCCATGATGTTTCAAGCGCACAGCGTCTCTGGCGGTTCCCACACGCGCTAAGCGCTGTAGCTCCCCCCAAACAAGTAACGTACCTTACCTAGCGGCACCGAATCAGCTGCCTGAGCTCAACACCCGACGTAATCCTCCATCAAGTGCTTGTATGCAACCATTCGCAACATCAACTCCCATCAACAACGACGCCATCACCAACACCCCTCGAACCTGATAACACGATACTTGTCCCCCACTGAATCGATCGCTTTATCGTCACGTTTGATACTACGACATCATGGTTAGATGCTTCGCGACGAGCAAGGAGGACGATGGCTAATGATTCGTAGTCTGCCCAGAACTCAGCTGGTATTCAACAGCTGCTCAACGTATGCTGCATCGAGCGCTTTTACTGCCATCGAATGGGGAACTAACCTGTGATGCCAGGCTGAGCAAGATGCTTCCAAGATTGTCCAGAAAGGTGCGCTACAACCTCATCTCCCCGCCTTGTTTATAGCTTAACTAACGACACTATCCAGCCCGAGAATGTAAGCGCCATTTCCTCACGAACCGATGAATCACCTATCTAATAGTACCGACCGATAGACCGTACCAAGCGCGTCAGGGAAGCTCGCGATGAGGCCAAGCAAGAGATAGCCGACTACAAGGCTAAGAAGGAAGAAGAATATAAGAAGTTCGAGGCCGAGGTACGATACTTCCATCCAGTCCATCTGCGCGAGATACGGTCTACATCAACGATGGAACAATACTGATGGTTGTACAGCACAGCAAGGGCAACGAGCAAGCCGAGGCCGAGGCCAACCAGGAAGCCGAGAAGCAAATCAAGAGCATCCAGGAGGCTGGCAAGAAGGGACAAGCTCAGGTCATCAAGAACCTCCTCAGCGCCGTCTTCGACGTCAACCCCGTCCCCCCCACCAAGTCCTGAACGACGGGGAGCACCGCGCACCACATGTTTATAATTACGAGCGTTTCAGCTTGACACAACACAAGAGGAGATGCAAATAGACGAGGAGGATTTGTGTTACAAAGACCAAATTGCGTGGTCCCGCCCTGCTAGCGTTTTTTTCCCTTCCTAAAAGGAAAAACGCTCATCTTGAATTATTAAAGTTATGTTTCTACTGGACAAACTCTACTAGAGTGCTCAACATGTCCCTCAGATCCTGGTTCTCCTCCGTTGTGTCTAGAGCGTCTAGCTGCTCCTTTAGCGTACGGCCGATTACGGAGACCTTTTCGTCGCGCTCGGCGAGGATTTGCCTGATCTTGCGTGCTGCTCCTGTGTCTTCTGCTACTAACCAAGCGAGAACTGTATCGATAGTCTGTAGTGTGAAGAGACCAGCGTCGATTCTCCGGGATAGCCATTCTAGCTCTGCCGCTTCACGGTCATCTTCTGAAGTAGTCGCTTTCTCAGTATCGTTTTGCTGCTCTGCTAGTGAGATGCGAGCGACGTAGTCTCGTCGGAATTTGACGAGTTTAGAGATCTTTTCGTAGTCCTTTTCCACAAACTTGGCTAGTGTTCGTATCCTCTCCGCGGAATTAGCTGGTAGAAGACGTAGCATTGAGGCGAAGATCTCAACGAGGTGTTCTGCTAAGCGATGATCTTGCGTCTTCATGAAGAGTGTGAAAAGACCCTTGAGACCACCAGCCTCGACGATCTTTTGACAGACGTCTACACCAGCGATACCGCCTGCAGCGTGGTTAAGGAGGCGGAGAGCAGGTGGTTTACTCTTCTTTCCCTCTTTGAGCATGATAAGACAGAGCTCTACACCCTCTGCGTCGATGAATTTTGCCTTTCCTGCAGCTTCATCTGCTAGGCATGTCAGGGATGCGAATATGTTCTCCATGTACTCTTCTTCATCGCCGCCCTTGTCAGGATCGCGTCGTCGGTAGGGGGCGATAAGCTGAAGGAGCAAGTCGACCGCATCGAGGCTTATGAGTTTAGTACGGTTTGCGACGGACATTTGGGCGAGGATGGCCAATATTTCTGCAGCGTATTGCTTGTTTTGGGAGACGGTGTCTTCCTTTCGTTGGATGCGTTGGAGAAGCCATTGTAGGAGCTTCTCATCCTCTCCTACGCGCTCAGCGACTGATTGTCGGGAGCACAAGTTCTCGATGAGTCCTAGGGCATGGTAGATACCGTTACGATCCGATTCATCATCCTCGTTCAAGCGGGAGAAGTTGGAGACCAGCAAGCTGAGGAGATCTGCCTCCATCATGGCATCTACCAGCACGTTCCACTGCTCATCCTCCGCCGCGACATCTTCGTCTGTCAACTCGCCCATAATCTCGATCGCATTGATAGCAATATCAGTATTCTCGTGCGCCAGCAGCCCGACAACACTGGCTACGCATTCTAGCTTGACGAACTCGGGGTACAGCTCCGGATGTTCAGACAGCAGCGACAGCCCCTTGATGTCGGCGTCCAGATCAGCCTCACTGCCAATAAACTTCTGCGGCTGATCCTCAAACTTGGCGCGAAGCTCGGCATTCTTGTTGATGTGTCTCTCCAGATTGGTTAGTGTTTTTCGCAACCATGCTGCATCGATCTTTTCAGGCGCTCGGCCAGCGTCGGCCTCCTCTACGTAATCGAGGATCTCTGATTCTTGTTTCGTGATGCCACCGCCGAAGAAGCGACCTTCGTCATCGTCGGGAGGTAGGTCGGGACCGAAGTCTTCGTCGTCGGCGGGGGGAGGCGCTGGGCCAGCTTCCATGTCTTCGTCTTCGTCTGGCGCATCGTTGACTTGGGCGTGGCGATTCGAGCCGTTGGTGTTTATCTTTGCTGATTTGTAGATTTCATCTAGAGATTGTAAGTGACATTTCGAGACAAGGAATGTTTGGTTGGGGCTTACTTGGATCTCGAATGGGATCAAGCTTGCGCTTCCCTGAGATGCCTGAGCTCTAGAATTTGTTAGACGGTATTATTGAACTTGGAGATTGAAGTAAACAAACCTTGAAAATATCATCAACGCTCGCCATGGCAAGAAACAATTGGGATACGGAGCGAAAGAAATATCAGAAGCGTTTTTGATACTAGTAGTGATCAAATATTCCGTTCGCGATCGGCGATAGCTTTCAGCGACGCGCTCAAGCTGATGATGTCTGAAGTCGGTTACAATTATTACATAAGGCAGCGAAACGCGCTAAAACTGAAGCACGACAGCGTGGTCCAGGGGGTCCAGGGAGATTCCGCACAGTGCTCCCGCTAAAGCAAGGGCCTCAGGGGGCAAGAAAACACCGAACCTTGGTGTAAGGTGTTAAAATAAACTGAGCAAAGATTTACTCAAGCTTGGGCTAAACTTACCTAAATATTTTCATCACCTAGAAGTAAAGTCCTGAGTTTTCTTCCCTCCTTTGCAAGCCTCAGGGTCAGACACGCGGCACACACAGGCCAGACAGGACACCTAGGATCAGCCGATACTATGGAATACTTGGCCGAAGGGCTGGGGTAGGGCGATGCACAGGTCAACTGCCGGTCACTCGGCATAATGCGCTATCTTGTCACAGATTAGAGACAAGAGGAACATGCGCATCCCTACAGTACCAGTACCTTTAGCTTCCGATGCCTCCAAACCACCAACCAAAACCCCGAGATGCAGGTACGGCTCGTCCCCTGACATGGATGGGCTGGGTTATCTGTTCCCTGAGCTGGGCTGACTGGTCGGTCTGTCTTCTGGCACGAACTTGAGTTGTTTAATGTTTGACTTGTGTGTCTTTTTTAACTTCTACAACATCCCCTTTTTGTTTCGACAGCGAGTGTTGCATTTTTGCATTGCGAATACGAACGATAGAGAGAGATAGAGCGACATGAGAATGCGAATGGAATCTGCGACGATATTCAACTTGGGATCTACAACTTTTTACGACCCGACGAGCAAACCTACTTGTTCTGTTCTGAACCTGAACTAAGTTAATTGCGCCGGAAACGGATCCACGACACCCGCCCGACCTCTCACTGAAGCACGAGTCTGTCACTGCTGAGGTGCTGCTGCCAATCGCGAGGTGAGGGTGGAAAAGGCCCGGGCTTCCACTAACCTCCACTAACCTAAGCCTTAGCAGTCCAAGGTCCCCTAAAATCGCCTACGACTGGAGTACAAGGGAAAGGGGGGAAATTGTTGGCTTTTTGGTGAGGATCCAGTAGAATCGATCGCTGGACTGGATCGGATTGGATTGCATTCGTTCGTCTTGGCTTGTTTGGCTCTCTTTTAGAAGATCGATTTTCATTTTCAAAGAGGATGCACGACGGTCAGATCTCGTCTCCTCCTCGTCAATTTCTCAATCACAATCACAATCACCACCACCACAACCAACGTCCGAGCGCGTCTCCTTCTTCTGCTGTTACCGCTACAGTCCCGCCGCCTTGGGCTTTGCCTGCCTATGCGTCCTCCGCTTCCGTAACGACCGACTCTAGACCAGCGACTGCGACTGGCAGATCCCATTATTATCCTCATCGCGACCCGTCGAGATCTGCGTTCTCGCCCTCGGCCTCTCCCTCGCTAAACGCCCATCCTCATCACAAGGGCCCGGGTCCCCGTCTGCCACGAACTTCCTCACTTCTCCCTCCGCCCCATATCGAACCTTCGCCGAGAGCTGTAACTTTCCAGAGATCGGATCGCTTATCGCCCACTCCCACTCCCACGCCCACGCCTGGCAGCAGCAGCAACGGGAACGGGAACAGCAACGGAATCCCCCACAACGCCGCCGAGAGCTCATGGTTATTGAATCGTCTCTCGTCTTCGACTGTGTCCACGAATTTCAGTCGTGTTTCGGCGCTACCCCCCCGCGCCAACCATACCAATTCGCGACTCGGTAAAAGCCCCAGTATCGATGCGACCACTTTCATTGACAACTCTCCACCGCCTTCCAAACCATCCCCTCGGAAACTCCAGAAGAATCACCGTCCAAGTACATCTGTCTCCAACCCCGACACCTTCATTTTTAGGCCATCAGAGGAACGAACCCAGCTACCGCAATCCCTGCCGCTAATCGTAACATTATCGCCCTTGGAGGCGCCCGCTGCGCTAAGCGATATACTCAACGTCAAATCCGAAGGGGCTGGCCCTGGCTCTGGTACGAGTGAGCCTGGGCGATCATTAGGCGCCCGCCAGGAGGGACAGTCCCTGAAGCAATCCGACAATTCAGACTCTCCAGCGCGATCCGTTACTTCAACGCCGGGCAGTGCACGCTCAATGGCTGCATACCGACCCAATATGCAGTATGATCAGGACCAAGAGGCTTACCCGCCTCAAAGAGGGCACTCCAGGAGTCGATCTGGAAAAGGAAGCAATGATAAGGGGCGCGCCAAACCGCCATCTCAAAAGGCCATGTTACATCGTGCCTTGCAGAAGGCGAATACAGCGGTCCAGTTGGATAATGCACAGAATTTTAAGGGCGCACGAGAAGCTTATGCGGAGGCTTGCGATCTCCTGCAGCAGGTGCTACAAAAGACAACTGCCGATGAGGATAAACGCAAGCTGGAAGCAATTGTAAGAACATGCCTAGTTATTGATGTCCCATACTAACTTGTATAGCGACGAACTTATACGAGTCGAATCGATGAGTTAGATCAAATGGCACCCTGGCAAGAAGAGGAGACCAAGGCGCTGCCCGCACGCCCTGAGAGTTTAGCACAGCATTCCGAGTCCGAGTCTGTATTACGATTGGATGATGATGATGATGATGAACCTAATGATACCGCTGTCTTTGACACCGCTACAGCTGCCAGAATAGATAGTCACAGCCTTCAACCTCGAATTGTCAATTCACCGCCACGAGAGGATAGCCAAGGCTATAAGAGACGGAGCGCCCAGAACAAGCCGAAACCTATCGTTACAAGTCTTGCACCCGAGCCTGGACTTCTTCAATCGTCCTTTTCACGATCACCAGTTCGACTTCGCACTCCTGAGCATTTCCTCCCGCAACGGCCCGCGGACCAATACATGCCAGCTCCGCTCTCCCCCAGACGCCCACTATCTCCAGCAAAAGAAGTCCATGAGATGGACGAGCCCGTGCGAACCGATTTCTCCATGAGCCATGACCAGCAGAACGACCATGCGCAAGAGCAGAACGTGCCGCAAACGCATTTCCGGGAAGACAGCATGAACTCTTGGTTGGATCCCATTGACGAATCAGGAGGCTCAACTGCATCATCTGTTCATTCGCGCACTTCGTCGCTTGGTTTCCGAAGGAAGCACATTCGGGGCGTTAGTGGAGAAACCGAAGCTGAATTCGATACCGCGTTGGACGCAGCTATTGAGGCCGCCTATGATGATGGGTATGAGCCAATGAGTCCAATGGACCACAGACGAATGGTGTCAGTGGACGCTGGCGAGGAAGTAGTAGCCAATGCTATGCGCAAGGTTGAGCTTGCTCGTCAAAAAGTCAGAGAGACTGAGCAAGAACTTTATGAGATGGAGAGGGATAGCCGTTCTCAACAGCAGCAATACCAGTCTTATGAGTACCAAGGAACGCCCAACGACTTTTATAACGATAACTCATCCGACGAAGAAGAGAGGATTTTGGATGAGATTGCTCGAGATTACGGTCTCGAATCATATAGACATCGCCCACCACCACCTCGAGAGTCTGACTCTAGCGGCGTAACTTCACGTACATGGCACAGCTCACAAGGATCGAATCCGCCAACGGGAGCTACTTCACTCTCTACCGTTACAGAGCTACCACCACCTTTGACGCATCTTACACAGGGCCCAGCTGCCCCTCCACCTACACAGTCTTTACCTGAACTACCTCAACGACCTGGATCATCCGCACAAAGTGTACGAAATAGACGTCTTTCAGGACAGAACCCGAAACAACTAAAGATTGAAACCTCCAAGCTGGCTCTTCCTATGCAGAGTTATGCCGATGCCAACCAGGCTAAGTCTGCTCCTCTAAGCAGTCAGAACGTTGACGCCACAGTTGAGCCGGATACGAAGGCCGCGAGTGCGAATCATAGACAACCCTCACCACCGTTGTTCGAAGCCAGCCCGACGGATATGACAGGATCTCGACCTACACCATCGCCGTTTGGACAGTTGGGCTCAGAGAAGGGCGATGACGACATCACCGGCTCTCCCAATACGCGAAAATTGAGGAAGAACTTTTCGTCCTCGAGTCTTCGAAGTATGAAGAGTCGCAACATGTCATTGACACATCTGGAAGAAGGCTCGGATTTGTCTCCTGGAACCCCAGGAAGCAATCCCTTTGGATCTCTCAATGCTCCGTCAGTCCCAGCTCTGCCTACACCTCTTGCCACGAGCTTCCGTGATCGATCGGAAACAAATGCGGCTGGGCTGTCATTGTTTGACGACCACTTCTACTCTCCGACAAGCCCTGGGTCGCCTAATCCGCTCATCTCCGACCCTCCAGCTCCCCTTGAGCCTTGTCCTACTGATTTCATGCTGCGACCTTTCTGGCTGATGCGATGTCTTTACCAGACATTGGCCCATCCACGTGGCGGTTACATCAGCAGCAAACTCTTTGTTTCTAGAGATGTTTGGAGGGTGAAGGGAGTGAAGCTCAAGAACATCGAGGACAAGGTGGCAAACTGCGATTTCCTCACAGCTGCTTTACTCAAGATCGCGAGAGTGGATACTTATGATGCTGATGCAGTCTTGGAAGAGATGCAATCCCTGGAGGGCATTCTCGAACAAGTCCAAACAGCATTGAGTCGCAAACTTGGCAATGAAGTTGGCGTCCATGGATCTGGAGCACTGTTCAAGGACGCATCCACCGGCGATGGAGATGCAGCTGCTGGCGTGCCGCGATCAGCGAGTGTTTCTGGGAAATCCTCCTTCTCATGGCGACGCCTTCGTTCGAAGAACTCTGCAGTCGGACTTGGTGGCTCTTACATGAGCCGTGTTAACACGGAAACGTCTAAGGATATACCCAGCATTGCCAGCCTGCCAATGACACCTACCCCAACGAATCGTCCCCCCAAGCGGGATCTGGCACAGGTCCAATTCACAGGTCCGAACGCGATGTACATGAGCTCATTGGCACGCCTGTTTGATGCAGCTCAAGCTATTGGTAAGTTCACTACCCCCAGAGTATACTTCGTATGCCAACGAGAATTAGATCAAATAGCCAGACAAGTCGAGGATCCTGGATTGCGACACGCCGACAAGACACAAGTTGGTCTTGAGCTATGCACACGACATGCAGCGGAGTTCTTTGGGTTCTACGTGTGTAGATTTGTTCTGTCAGATCTGGGATTGTTGCTAGACAAATATCTCAAGCGTGGCAGTGAATGGGTTCTCACATGATTGGGATGATAGATGAATTGGACTCCGTATGAAGCACTTGGACCAAAGAGATGGATGAACCTTGGGATGCAGAAGGATGAAACTTGGAACGATGGAGACGGAACGAACTTGGAACTTTTTGGAATGGGAATGAAATGGGATGGAACGAATGGGTCGTTATAATGCATGGGCAAGGCGTGATGCATTCGGTTTTCTTCTTGGCCAACCAAGTACTTAGATGTATCCCGCGTGACGGGAAAAAGGCTCGATACCCAAGCGATCTATATGTTTCACTGTTGAAGTTGAGTTTTATGAAATGGGATTGGATGAATAGCATTGTGATGGTTCCATTGAGGTGTGCCTTGAGAGGCAGGTATACAACAATGATGATGTTTACAGTTGGTGTTTTGTGTGCAGTGCACTATGGCTTGTGTTTGAGTAGGGAGTTTGTTTATGGTTAAGTAGACTTAACCTTACTTTCAAGTCTATGAGTTCTGTGCTAAACATTATAAAAAGGAACAATTATGAGTGTAATTCCATTCTCCATTGAACCCACCATCTTAAGATGCCATCCGGTAATATCGCGGGAATACAATGCGGGACGACAGGGATACGTACCTCCACCAGAAGGATTTCGTGCATCACGGGGAAATCTTCAATCTCGAATTGCGCCTCAACAACTCCACCACTAACTCCTCCTCAGCCATTGAATTGGCCTGAAATCACCGCCTACCACAAATCCTTGGCCAAATGCGCCCTAGAAAAGTCTAGATGAGCCTGGCTTGGAGCGCTGGCCGTGCCTGGAGTCGGCAATGCCTCTCACAAGCGCTCACACCGAGGATATACGCAAACCTGCGTCGATACGCCACGAAGCCTACACCCGCTGAGCTCGAAGCCCGAATCGCTGCCATCCCCATCGAGAGATATCGTAATTTCTGCATCGTGGCGCATATTGACCATGGGAAGAGTACGCTGAGCGATCGGTTGTTGGAGTACACTGGTACGATATCTGCTAGCGATGCGAACAAGCAGATTCTGGATAAGCTGGATGTAGAGCGGGAGAGAGGGATCACCGTCAAGGCGCAGACGTGTACTATGATCCACAAGCACAACGGGCAGGATTATCTGCTTCATCTTGTCGATACGCCTGGGCACGTGGACTTTAGAGCTGAAGTTACGAGATCGTATGCTAGTTGTGGCGGAGCGTTACTTCTCGTTGATGCATCGCAGGGTATTCAGGCACAGACTGTGTCAAACTTTCATCTTGCCTTTGCGCAGGATCTGGCGCTCGTTCCGGTGGTGAACAAGATCGACATGCCAGCTGCAGATGTCCCGCGAGTACTACAACAAATGAAGGATAGTTTTGAGCTCGATCCCAAAGACGCTATTATGCTCAGCGCCAAAACGGGGAAGGGTGTACCGGATGTTTTGCCCGCTGTTATAGAGCGGATTCCTCATCCTGTTGGAGACGAGAAGAAGCCGCTCAAGATGATGTTGGTGGATTCATGGTACGATAACTTCCGCGGTGTAGTGCTGCTGGTGAGGCTATTCGACGGTACGATCAAAGCGGGTGATAGTGTTGTTTCTTTGGGGACGGGGATGAAGTACACTGTTGGACAGGTTGGCATTCAGTATCCGCATGCTATACCGCAAGCGACGCTCAGCGCAGGACAAGTTGGCTACGTGTACTTCAACCCAGGTATGAAGAAGATCCAAGACGCAAAACTGGGCGATACATTCACCTTTGTCGGGTCCGAAGAAAATGTCGAGCCGTATCCTGGTTTCGAGGAGCCCAAGCCCATGGTCTTCGTGGCAGCCTTCCCCACTGACCAGAGCGACTACAGTCGTTTGGCAGATAGTATTGGTCAATTGGTTCTCAACGACAGAAGTGTTACGCTGCAGAAGGATCACTCTGAAGCCCTCGGTGCAGGATGGCGATTAGGCTTCCTGGGAAGTTTGCACTGCTCTGTGTTCCAGGATCGGCTGAGGCAGGAACATGGGAAGAGCGTTATTCTGACGGAGCCGACTGTGCCGTCAAAGATTATATGGCCTGATGGGTCGGAGGAGATAGTGTCGAATCCGGCGCTGTTTCCGGAGACGAGCAATCCCAAAGTGAAGCAGTCACAACTCTTTGAACCGTAAGTCTGTCGGGCCTGTCATATTGAGCGTTACTGACTGTGTTAGATATGTCACTGCTACAATCACCATGCCAGAGGAATATCTCGGTCGTGTGATTGAGCTCTGCGAAGCGAATCGTGGAGAACAGAAGAGTTTGGAGTTCTTCCACACAACGCAGGTTATTCTACAGTATGAGATTCCAACGGCCCAATTAGTCGATGACTTGTTTGGCAAGCTCAAGAGCGTAACGTATGTTTGTATTCTTGGGTGTTTGAGACAGTGCTGATGTGTTTGTAGCAAGGGATACGCGACGCTGGATTATGAAGATGCAGGTTGGCGGGAGAGTAACCTCGTCAAGCTGCAGCTGCTGGTGAACAGACAGCCCGTCGATGCGATTTGTAAGGTCGTTCATTCATCGCAGGTTGATAGGCTTGGGCGACAGTGGGTTACAAAGTTCAAGGAGCATGTTGATCGTCAACATTTCGGTACGTTTTTCCCCTTCACAAGTTCACATGAGGCTTAGTACTGATGCTGTTTACAGAGGTCGTTATCCAAGCTACAGCAGGTAATCGCATCGTAGCGCGAGAAACCATCAAGCCCTTCCGTAAGGATGTGCTTGCAAAGTTACATGCTGCTGATGTATCGAGAAGAAGAAAGCTGCTGGAGAAACAAAAGGAGGGTAGGAAGAGGTTACGCGCTGTGGGTAATGTGATTATCGATCAGTCGGCGTTCCAGAGCTTCATGTCGAGATGAGTGTTGGATAGTGTACTATAGTGTAATATCATGACTGGATGATAGATAAAAGATGAACCGTTCTGTGACTTTAGTCCTAGGTGAAGGCCTTTGACTCAACACCAGTATCGCCCATTACGCCTTCACCTCAGCCTCATACCCCGGATCCTCCTCCGGCAAATCAAGCCCCAGCTCAACAGTCTCTGTAAACGACAACCCCATCCCTCCCGCCTTTGTCTCCTCCCGCTGTTTAATCCCCTGGTCCTCAAAGTCAAAAACACGATAATCACTGTTAAAGAACCAATACCCCGCAACGCCCAATCTCAAGAACCCAGCGTGCGATACCACAAAGATGAGCTTCTCAGGTCTTTTCTTCAGATCCTCTAGGGCGCGCTGACCGCGGGCGAGGATGGATTTCTTGGTGTACCAGTATCGCTCTGCGGATGGGGATGTCTTGTCTGGCCAGAGGGGATCGACGGAGGAGAGGTTCACTTTGGGGAAGGAGGGGGAGATGGAGGGGAGGGGACTTCCTGTGTCACAGGGTTTGGAAGAGTTTTCTGATGCGTGTAAGTGAGGTTGTGAGTGAGGGTGAGAGGGGATTTACCTTGCCAGTCTGCGTTGCCTTCAATCTTGACACCTCGCTCAACAAGCCAGCCCAGCGCAAGCATAGCAGTCTGCATCGTACGCCGCATGGGACTAACGACGATAGCTACATCGTCTACATTATCGATCTTGTCTGAGAATGTAGAGATCAAGTTCTCTCTCAGTTGAGCGCATTGCTCCTCGCCCTTTTCCGTGAGCGGAGGATCCGCCAGTGACCATTCTTGTACATATTGTCAGTCATACTCTAGAGGTTATGTGAAGGGAGACTTATGAGCTACATTGTGAAGAGCCTGAGCGTGGCGAATGAGAACAATCGTAGGAGCCATTGTAACTGTAAGTGATGATGTTGAAGTCAAGTGAAGAGCGGTGATGGGTCCGCTTTCGGAGAGGACGATTGGCCATGACGACTTGAAGTTCAATTGACTTTACAACATGCATACACTCAACAACAACTCCTCAATGGTATTAGGGAATAATAATTAGAGATTTATTATTATAATTACTCGTCTTCTATATCCAATCCAATTGTAAATGTCTATCGCTTAGATTGCCAAAAGAGCTGCGACGCCGATTATCATGCCCATTAGTGATGCGCCCTTTGACGAGGCTGCGTTGTCTGTTGATGACGGCGCTGCGGCGTCTGATGATGCTTCACCGGCTGTGGCTCGACCTGAGGCTGAGGTTGCGTCTGTGGTAGAGCTTGCGTCGGCTGTGGTGGATGCAGCAGCGGTGGTCGAAGCATCTCTTGTTGTTGAGACTGTTGAAGAGTCCTTTGTTGTCGACGCGGCTTCGCTGGTAGACTCAGTCTCCTCCTCCTTTGTACTCGTCTCCTTGGCCGTACTCTTCGCCTTTGTACTCGTCTTGGTTGCAGCCGTCGTAGCAGTAGTAGTTGAGTCCTCCGCAACCCTCTCCTTCACCCACGCCGCAACGTCATCAGTAAACACATCAAAGTAATTAAGATGCGTCTCGACCTCATCGCCCTGTGCACAAATCGGATCCGTCTCAACACAGTAATTCCTGAAAACATCCCCATAACTCGCCAGATTCTCCAACATGCCCGCCGGTCTAGGAAACAAGCCATCCTTCCCCTTGCCAGAGAGCACATTGTACGGCTGATCCTTGGTATGTCGCGTATCGCCAAACACCATCGCAGCAACAATCTTGCTTCCAGGTAGTGTCTTGGGATTCAATCCCTGCAGGTCAGGTTCTACGCAGTTCTGGAAGAACACGCCGCCTCCGCCGCCGAGGATGTCGCCGACGACTTGGCCGCCCTGCGAGTAGCCGCTCACGACGAGTTTAGAGTCTGGGCATCTCTTGTTGTACGCTGTGATCTGCTTGATGCCATTCTTTACACCCTCCGTGACAGAATTGCAGAACGGGTCTTCAAGAGCGTTCTGGAACTGGATGTCTTCATAGTCGCAGCTCTTTAAACCGCTGCAGATAGCACCAGCCAGTTTTCCCTGTCGTCCTGGGTAAGGCTCATTGTTGCCCTTTGCAAGAAAGATGTGTACGTCTTTACAGTCGTCGCGTATGCCAATGGCATTGACTGTAGTAGCAGCGATGAGAAGAAGTGTGGTAGTAGAGCTGTGCATATTGATGATGATGATGAAAGAAAGTAAACAAAAGAATAAGAAAAATATCACGATAAGAGAAGAATAGACACGAACCGAGACAAGGAACAAGGTTGCCGGTCACAGAACCTGTTTCATCAGCTGAACAAGGATCCCCTGAAGACGCCCCGGGTTTTAATCTATCTTCGCCCACAACCACAAAAAATATGGGACGAGACGAGATCGACTTGCGGGCAAATTTGCGCTGCGATAACGGGGCTAATCAGGCTAATCACGACACGTCAAAAAGAAATGGAGACTCGGTTTGTATACTCCATAAACGAGTCTAATTAAATTGGTTTTTTTATCCACTTGAGATGTCATCCAAAGGGACGAACATGATCTGATTCGATGGGGTGGAAAATGTCTCTCAAGCGAGTGTTGACTGAGTCAGTTGAACGAGAAGCGAGGACTAGTGGAAGTCCCGGACCAGCCCTCAGGGAGCAAGAAAACACGACACCTAAGTTTAGGGTGATAAAATAAACTCTACAAAAGGTATCCTAAATCTATACTAAGTTGCCTAAATCTTTTTACCAGTTAGGTTCAAGGTCCCGAGTTTTATTTCCTCCCCTAGCCAGCCCAGCTTCTCACTAGACGATCTGGATCTCGTTTAGCGATCAGAGGGTGTCTTGGATCGTGACTGTTATGCCTAATGGAGATGGACTGACCGTGGCCTCGGGTGAAAAGACACAAGACACTTGGCATTGTCTAGCCAAAGACCCTTCTGAGTTTATACAGAATTGTCAATTGTCTTGTCTTCAAGCTTAACTGTTAAGCTCTGCCACTTACGCTAATCCAGGTAAAGTATCTCGCGATCTGCGATTACGCGTCGTGGCTCGGATGGGTCTCACATCTCAAGCTGTATGAGTAAACTATAAGCTGACGTTGACTTCACTATATGGGACTTGCCTTGAACTCCTATATAATGACATCTCATCACGCCTCAACGTCTCCAAGATGCTATCCTTGGTCAGGTTCTTGAGCGTCTCATCGCTGTCACATCAATCGACAAGACTCTCATCCAGTCCCCTCTTCTCTGCTTCATGAAGGCCTACCCTTATCTTCATTTTGTCTCCATCCCTACAAAGCTGTTCAATTATCCTTCCTGGTTCCTCAGGATCTTTGCGGAATCACCAGTAATTGCTTCGTAGTTGCATCATGACTGCTCTCGACGTCAATGCAGGCTCGCGGTCTTCGTTTCTCAGAGTATGGACCTCGATCTATGATCCAAACGTTCTTACTCGAAGATTCAAGGCTGTGCAATTGACGTAGGCTCGCTGCTGGGTGGACTGGCTGAGAGTTGGCACCTTCGTGGCCCCCAAGTCGTTAGCAGGAACTGGTCTCTAGAGAGATGTATAAGTGGATGTCAACCCAGCACATTTAATGAGCCATTATGCAAGGTCTCGAGAACAGTGTGAGACCTATGTCAACTTCGTTGGTGATGGCGGTCAGCGTTGAATCAAGTTTAGATAGCATGTGTGTCTATACCATGCTTTAACTAAGATAGCGAGTGCATTGGGCTCAAGACCTGATTGGGAAATCCACTCTCGGTCAGAAAGCATATCGCAGGCTGTCAATCTATCGTCAGTCAAACTTGTAAGTGGCTTTTAACTTCATATCAAGCTGTACCGGCGTTACTTGGGACGTAGGTATGTCGAGTGATGGAAAGGAAGACGCATTGGTAGTAATTTTGACATGCTAGGGGCTGCGAAGTCTTTTGGGGTATGTAAGAGAGAGGCTTTTGGACGGTCTGATCTGTCTTTCAATCTATCAAGTGATTGATATACCGTTTGGTGTGGTGGTCCTGGATAAAGTTGATGCGATGGAGACCATAGACGAGACCAAAAGAAACTGCCTTGATAGATAGCTAATTGCCCCGAACCCAAGCGAGCTGGAGGATACAAACGAGCTCCTTTCTTATACCCCAAACGTCCTCAAAAAGAGGTGATGCGCTCGTTCGTTGGGGGTGTGGTACTTGACATTGGCCGCGGTGCGAGGAGCCTGGTCTCTTGGGCAGCATCTGGATTGCTCAACTAGAGTCTTAAGAGTGTTAATAAGTTGTAGATTTGAAGTTATTTAGACTGTCAAGCTCCGTTTCGTTGATAGATGACTCGAAGCTGTTCTCCTGAAGCATCAATGAGCCATGAAGAGAGACCCCTTCCACGAGCCAGCGGGACGTTCCGAAACAAGAGTAAAGATCACGTTAGAGTCAAGCCTGGGTAGAATGGATCTAATGTAACATAAAAGAGGGATGCTAGTTGATAGGTAGCTAACATTGGTCTCCAGAAGAAGGAGTGACACTAGGAGAGAACCCCCTGAGTCTCCTTATACAACGAGGTTGAGAAGACCCTCAGACGCACGTGCTCAGATCAAACTCAACTCAGGCTAGCTAGATCAAATTGAACAGAAATATACTGAAGGTACAAGTCTCGTTGACAGGCAGAGGACCCCAGTCTCCTAGAGAGGCAGCGAAACGTGAGGAAGTCCCGAGCCTTCCAGCCAAGGAGGCAGCGCGCTCCTTGGAGATGTGGGTGCCGGGATTCTACAACGACTGTGACTTGGATTTGCTTATTTACCTTGGTTTTATGTTGACCTCTGTTAGTCTAGATGTACGAGATCAATGGGACGACAGTTGGTGATTGAGTGGTGACTGTGACGGCATCTACATGACACTTAGGGGTAGCAGGCAACTGAGCTCCGTAACCTGATTCATAACGATTGTTCATTGTTCAAGACTACTCTAACTACCGGAAGTTAAGCCTAATTCCCCAAAATCTCATCCTTTCTCTTCTGAAGCAAGTAATAATACTCCTGAATCGGGGTACTCTTCGTCGGAACCCTCTCCCCCTCAAACTTGCCCTTTCCATGCCCATTGAAGTGAACCTTCCAAGCTACAAATCATTAGCACCATTCATACACACAAACGGGGACTTAAAAACTTACTGCTTGCGTCAAAGCCGAGGTATGACCAGCTATCATTGAGATACGCCTTCTCAGTGCCAACCTGGATAGTCTTGACAGTTCCCATCTGTCCAGGCGCAGGTCGAAGCTCCTTGAGGTCTGCGACGAGCTTGATGAGGCCTGTGACGAAGGCGAGGGCGACGTCTTTGGCGATGCATTCGTGTTGGCCGTAGCTGAAGGCTGAGACGTCTTCTTTCTTGCGCTGGGGGTTGAACTTGCCCGCGTCGGGAACTTCCTTGGGGTTACGACCAGCTTCGCCCTGTTCATTGTTAGATATGATACGTTTGTGAGGTGAGAGTGTGACTTACGAGCATGAGAACGACGGCGGTGCCGGGTTGGATGGTTTGGCCTTGGACTTCGCCTGGTGCTGTCGCAACGCGGACGTTGCGCTGGGAGCTTGTCAAGCGCTGAGCTTCAGCGACGTAAGCGTGGAGTGTAGCATCATCGCCCTTCTGAGCAATGGCTTGGACTTCAGCCCAGATAGCCTCATTCTCAGGACGAAGGAAGAAAGACAGAACCTCGTAGAACTACACACTGTCAGCGCACATCTCCAATCTTGTCACTCAACTTACAGCAGTGACAGGGACACCAATACCACCAAAGGCAGTGAGCCAGAGGTTGTCTGTGACCTGATCAACATTATTTCCCTGCGCGAGCAACTCCTCCACAAGCTTGAGACCACACGATCGCAGCGAGTCCTTCTTGAGGTATGATCTGGCGCCGATCCTGTTAGCAACGGCATTAACCAGTCCGATGCCTCGAGAACGTCCAGCGTCCGCCTCGGCGACGATAGTCTTTGTCGTCTCAATCATTCTCTTTGCACCCTCTTGAGCACGACGACGGCGGTTCCATGCCTGTGCGGGATCATTGTTGTTGACGCCCCAGACACGAATGTCGAGAAGACTGCGGTACAATTCTGCAACACCGAGTTTACCATCTGGGTTCTCTTCGGTTCGGAGATCAAAGTAGAACAGATCGGCGAGGAGTTGTGTGTTGAGAGGGATAGCGACATCACGAATGATGTCAATCTGATCAAGACCCTTCTTGAGAGTGAACGTCTCCTTGTTAATGAGCTTTGTGCCCTCACGCTCAATGAACGTGTGGACGGCATTGTGCATGTTGGGAATCTTGCTCATCGCCTTGGCAAAGTTGGCGCGATGAGTGTAGTTCTGAGGCTGGTCGCCCGCAAGCATGAACCAGCCAAAGTCCTTCTTCCCCGGGAACAGAGTGTTGAGGGGCTTGAGCCAGGGAACGACGTATTGCTTCGTGTTGCTGAGGATCTGCTTGATAGCAGGTCCTGACGTGAGAACGGCGACCTTGGGGGGAGCCTTGGGGTCGTCGAGAGTGTACTGGTCAAAAGTACCAATCTCTTTGGCGATCTGCTCGTTGGCCTTCTTGGTGTACATGGGCTGCATGACTGCGATGGAGTTGAAGGGGAACCAGTTTGGTACACCGCGCTGGATGAGCTTGTAGAGCATTGAACCACCGAGAGTCTTGTAGTCCTGCTGGACTTCGTTGTAACCCCAGGCTGTGAGGTTCGACACGGTGTAGTCAATGGTGTTGAACCTGTCTGAGCGAACGAGCGTAACAGCATCAGATAGAACAGCTCGACCGACAGAGTAGGTCGGCATGATACCAGAGCCAGGGTTACGCTGGGGCTTGATATCCTCGATCATAAGACCGGGATACAACTCAACCATGTCTGGATCAGTGTACAACTTCTCCAGAATATTCGCAATATCAGGGTTCGAGTTGATCTCGCTGAACGAATCATAGCGCTTGAGACCAAAGAACTCTCTGAACTCATTCAGCGAAGCACACTGCCACTTACGACCCTGGATGATACCCAGAACCTCAACGACCTTGAGAGCCTTGGGGACCATACGAGCGCCGAAAGTTCCAGCAGGATTCTCCATAGCATCCTTGAGGATACGAACAAGATCCTCATCCTTGAACGTACCGTCAGCCTGACGCTCAAGACCATCAAAGGTACGAACGCTAGGATCCTTGGGAGTGTTCTGCTCAAATGTGAGCAGAGCCTGTCCAAGTTCCGTCCAGCTGACGTCCTGGAGATCCTCAGCCTTGCGGCCGGGGAACAGCTTGAGGAAGAAGTTGTTGATCCATTTCTCGTCTCGCTTGGAGATGCAAGAGTGGAAGCGGTACAGAAGATTGAACTCAACGCTGACTTGGTTACCAACGCCTCGAGGGACGCCGTCGCCGTCGAATTGCTTGTCAATCGCAACACGAGGATCAAGAGTCCAGTCACTCGCGGAGTGATGAGTGTTGGTGATGGCACGAAGATAGTCATGCAAGCAGATGTTGATGTACAAACCACCCGTGATCAGACGAGCTACATTGAAGAGATCGTGATCTTGCTTCGCAATAGCCTTTGCCTTTTCTTCCTCAGAAGCATTAGGCGGCACTGACAGTGAGAAGCGTCCGTTCTCATTGATCTTGAGCAGAATATCAGCCACGTAATTGTGGAAACGACTGTATAGTACAAGCATGACGTTGACGCCTGCTGGTTGACCGAGAAGACGCTTCTCGTGAAAGGTATCAGGCTTGAGCTTTCCCTCCTTCATGGTACGAATCTCAAGCTGATCCTTCAATGAAGAACCATACAGGGGAGCAAGATCAAGATACGATGAGGTATCAGACTTGTTCATATCTGTACGGTTCGTACGGAAGATGTCATGGATAATGATCGCAGCGTGGTAAAACAGCATTGACGAAATACCTGCTGGATTCTCCTGAAACGTTGTTTCATCTCTCGCCATGAGAAGATCAAACAACAAACCAGGGTCAGGCTTAACACCGTGAAGTCTCTTCTCTGACTTGACAGACTTGGCATATGGTGTACCAGCCCTGCCTAGATTAGGCTCAAGGATGTTGTTGAAGCTACCGTCTGGCATACGGTACTGATGAAGACCATCAGGGGCCTGGGGCACTTGTTCTCGAAGAAGAACATCAGTTCCAGGGACTTTGAACTCGATTGTATCATAGAGTTCGCAGTTATGCTTGTGAGCTGGCTTATCAGAGTTGACGACATCGTACTTGACATCGCCACCAACGTAGCTCAGTGGCGGATGCTGTAGATTGCCCCAGAGGGTGTCGATGAGTTTGTTTGTAAGAGCTGTACGAGCTTTGGAGGATGCAGGAAGCGCGGTGAGGATACCGATGAGGAGTTCAGTAGTTCTAAACCTGTTAGTCATACTCTGGGATATGATGTAGACGAGTGACTTACCCCTTCTTGTCATCAAGAGGTTGACCCTTTTGGAGGAGCTCCTTGACAAGACCGAGGAGTTGGGCAGGACTAGCTTGGCTTCTCACACCAGCAAAGTCCTTCATGAGGTCCGCAACGAGTTTCTCAGGGTTATTCAGCAGACTCGCCGGATCCTCCTTGGAGCCACCGTACGACTCACCAGCCTGAAACTTTTCATTGAACGACATGATGAAGAGAGAAGAAGAAGCGTGTGCAAAAGCTAATCCAGCATTTCTTCAGCGGCGTCTTGATCCCTCCATGCTTTATACCAAACAAGTCACTTGTAGCTTTCTTTCACGAGCGGTAACCACATCGCGGACCCTCGAGTGTAAGTGGCGCTGGTGCGGCGAGAGCTGATAACACGGTCTGTCCAATGCAAGTTCTCGTATTGACAACGCGGGATGCGAGCTGAGACAATGACGGAAGGTGATAAGCTGGGATACAGCTGTACCGGGATGAAGCTTTGAGAATGAGGGGTTGGTGAGAAGGCATGTCTCACAGACTGTTGTCTTGTGTGAGACCTTGATGCGAGATCTTGCGCGTTTGGAAAAGAGGGTGTGCAGTGGCCTCAAAGACGATCTGACATTTCACTCACCGAATCTGCACTGTCCATTCCTTTGATTCTCATGATTCATCAGCTCTTCTCTTTTGTTCACCTTGTAAGTATCAAAGATAGGTTACGTTACTATCCGATCTACGTGACATCTCACCTCATCTAGATTACCTTTCCATCAAAAATCTCCTAGCTTTACCGCCAATGCATGCGGTCCGTTCCGACCAACCAGCGCGGACAACCAACCCCCCCCCCCCCTGTCGTCCAAATATGGATTGGCTGAGGGTGGATGTGCCGAAGCTAGACATTTTCTTGCTGACGGGCGTTTATGCCGTGCAACACTACATAGGAACAATCGCCCATCGGGCCGTCCGGCAAATAGTAGGTGCCGGAGTTGAGCTAATGTCTCAGCCGGGGAGGGATGTCGTCAAGTGAGGGGTTGTGAGACCTGCAGTTCGTTGTGTTGTTTTGATTTGCTGGGGTTTGAAATAAACGAATTGTGAGTGGGGGATGAGAGAAAAGAAAAGGAAAGGGAATCTAGATCTGAATGTTTATGCAGTGGCATGAGGATCGGAAGACATTGAGAGATATGGGTGAGACAGGTTGTGTAGTGTATGTACTGAGGGTCGAGGTGGAATCATACATGATAGATCTTCAGGCTATTATCGGGTTAATCTGGAGTAATTGCTTATTTCGAGTTACACAAACCAAGGAAGCTCATGATCATCTCAGAACCAACCCCTCACGTCAATCTCTTCCCATCTCTCTTCTCAGATCTCTAAACTAGACTCTATCTAACACCGCTTATCTGCACTCTGCAATAACACTCCTTTTATTACATGAATCTCACTGCGACAAAAGAAAAGCAAAATCAACCAATACACAACTTCTCTCCAAAACATCAGGGTCCAGCCCAAGTACATACATCCATGCAGCTACAACAGTCACCGACTTTCACAAGACCGGAGTCGTGCATATCTCCCCGCCTTTCAACATCCAACCAACCAACCAACAATGGAATTGTGGCGTGTCGAGCATCAACTGTAACAGACCCCAAACAGAAATCAAGTCTCAGCCGCACCAAATCACAACATGCTCACTCTCTCTTTTCCCCTCCCCAAGCCGTCCCTTGGCCAGACATTTCAACCAATATAGGCAAAAAGATGATTCTCGTGGCTGGCTGAACAGACATGCCAAGGACGAATCAATGTTCTCCGATTAGCATCCTTTCACTTAATGATTCTCGTAAGGGAGAAGACAACAATGCATGTGAATATCGCTCTCTCCGTACTGTATACTTCTCGCCTCCGGTTGCAGGTGTGCTATGCTACACGGGCCAGTGACCCAATGGTACAAGCAAAAGAACCACGCAAGGGATTTTCGCTGTCTCCGCATAAAGGAAGCTTAGCTGGCCCCCAGACCCGTCTCACCTTAGAAAACTTGCCCATCATTCTTTTCTCGCAAAGATGCCTCACGCTGAGAACGAAGGCACTGACTCTACAGAGCCCAAGAAGCTCATCCTGTGCTTTGACGGCACGGGAAACACGTTCAGTGGCTCCAATGCTGATACCAATGTTGTCAAGATCCTTCGAAAGTTGGACCGAAACAACAAGAATCAGTTCCACTACTACCAGAGTAAGATGCCAGCCATTGAGTTGAGATGCGGTTGCTAATTGTGCATAGCCGGAATTGGTACATATGATATCAATGAGACGTCTGTGAACAAGGGCATCTTTGGTGAATTGGGGAGTAACATCTCAAAGACAATCGATTCAGGCTTCGGTACCACTTTTGACGCTCATGTCATTGCTGGTTATCGCTTTCTCATGCGTTACTATGAAACCGTAAGTCTCATCTCCCGACCCCCAAATCCCCCAATTGACGTTGTGAAGAACGCAAAAATCTACGTCTTTGGCTTCAGCCGAGGCGCCTACACAGCCAAGTTCCTCGCCAGAATGGTCAACAAGGTCGGTCTCCTCTGCAAAGGCAACGAGGAGATGGTCCCCTTTGCCTACCGTCTTTATCAGCGCTACCTCCAAGGCGAGATAAAAGACAGCGAGCATGCGCAGTGCGCTTCCAAGCACGGCAGCTCAGAGGCAGACGCCCCAGCAAATTGCGACACGACACAGCTTCTGGGCACAAAGCCTGAAGATGTCAGTGAAGAGACGCAGGATGCTTCCAATGAGATTGAGGCATTCAGTCAGACATTCTGTCGCAAGGAGACGAACCGCGCTGGTGAAGAGGAGAACATCAAGGTGTTCTTCCTCGGAATCTGGGATTGCGTCGCCTCAGTCGCTGTTCTCGAGCGCAAAGCAAAGATGCCCGTTCCTGTAACGGGCACAGCGACACATGTTCGTCACGCTGTAGCCGTTGACGAGCGTCGCGTCAAGTTCAAGCCCGCTCTGCTAGCGCAGGACATCAGAGCCGCAGTGCACAGCCACGATGATGAAGAAGACATCAAAGAAGTCTGGTTCCCAGGCAACCACGGCGATGTCGGCGGCGGATGGCCCGCACAGCCTGACGAGCAGGAAGATGAAGCTGAGAAGCCGTCTTTCTGGGGCCGTATCAAGAACGCGTGGCTGACGAGAAAAGCTGGCAAGGCGAGTCAGAACCTGAACAAGGATAGGTTCCAGATGAGTGACATTCCACTTGAGTGGATGATTCGCGAGGTCAAGAAGTGTGGCGAGATGGATAAGTCGCTGCAGGCGGGCGTGCATTGGTGTCATAGCCTCAAGCCGTTTGAGAAGAGCATGGAAGATCCTGCGAAGCGAAGAGAAGCAACGCATGGATTCATGCACGACTGTCTCGCGTTTGGCTACGGAACAGCCTTCTTCAAAGTCCTCATGTGGAAATTCATGGGTAAGTTTCACTCTGACCATCTCAACCCCAACTAACACGTCCCAGAATGGCTCCCCTTTCTGACACGCTGGGAACTCGACGACACAACAGACGCCAACGTCAAGCTCCTCGGCTGGAAGCCCGTGACATTCCCTCCCAACAGAGGCTCGTACCGTGACATTCCGCGCGGTGCAGTCCTGCACCAATCTCTTTTGGACCGACTGCAGGAGTTCTCGAGCTACACGCCTGGAAACAACCACGGCGATAAGTCGAATGCCTGCTTCAAGGGTCGGAACAAGGCGTTGGTGTATAACGAGAAGGAGGTTGAGGGGTTGTCGGAGGATGCGAAGGCGCACAAGTTGAGTGAAGCGCACTTCAAGATCCATTCTGAGGGGAATACGTTGATCTGGGAGGATGATAAGAGACATCAGACGTATGATTTTAATCCTCATTTCAAAGGTGCTCTGCATCCTGCGGTTGTTCAGTAGTAGAGGTTAGTACGGGATGGGAAAGTTGGCGATACTGTTGCTTGGATATACGGTATTGAGTAGTTTGGTTGAAAGGTGTAACAAGAATAGGGAAGAGTTTGCAATTTCTAGGCTAATGTTGTACCAATTTGGGGGATTCCTATCAATCATCTCGAGTCGTTTCATGAGAAGTGCTGGCAGCCGTGTCCTTCACCGAATCTCATATATGCGTGTTCTTCGTCACTCCAGAATAGAAGCGATCGGGTCAAGCACCTTTCTCGCCGCCTTCGTGATGGTCAAGCAGAGCGGCAGTTCATCCGAAGACGAACAAGCAGACTGATACGTTGGCGGGCAGTCCGGAGCTGTAGGCAGCGTATGCCATCTCGTCTGCCGCTCTTCAAGCCGCTCAATGAATGCGACGAACGACTTGTCGCGATGGTTCTCAATGCCAAATATCTCCGACTTGACGGCATTGTACATGAGACTCTTCCACTGCTCGGGCGACACTTCAATCGGCACCAACACTGTGTCGTTTGAGGTGAGTGACTGACCCAGAGGATTGAGCGCGACCTTCAACTTTTCTCCCTTGCAGGTCGCTTCAATTGCCCTTGCATCAATCGTCTTGATGAGCCTGACGTAGGACTCGGCGATGCAGACGCACAGAATGCCCAGGATGCCCGCGTTTTGCAGCACGGATGAGAAGCGCATGGGGCACTTTGAGCATTCGAGAACGTCCGTCGCGCGCTCAAACGTATTTCGCAGAGTCGCGAAATCATCGGGGACAATGAGCTCGGTGCGGACACCGAGGCGATTGAGGAGAAGATAGAGGATTGACAGGCATGCGCACGAGGCGTTAATGTCTGTCTGCGTGAGGATGTCGCTGTGAGATTGTGCACTACAGAGGGTTAGAAAGCGGAAAGAATGGATCGCCTGACGGGCTCCTTACGGCGCAAAGCTCTCATAGTCCGTGAGATATGGCGGTATATCTGCATTAGGTTCGCGAGGGCTCGGGGGCTCTTCCGTAACGGTCGGTATTCGGGGGGTATTCGACTGCGCTGGTGACGGCCCGCGATCATCCTCACGAGCAGGACTGGACGGCGCGCGCGCTATCACGCAGGGCCTCTTGGGTCTGCCAGCGCGTTTCTGCAGAGAGTAAATACATCCTCGATTAGAAGCGGTGCATTTCGAACACACCGGGTATTCTCCTGAGCATCGGACCTTTCGCGATCCTACGGGTTGAGGGAACGGATAAGCCAGCTGAGACCGGCGCTCGACGTCTCGTCACTTACTACATGGCTCGCAGGAAGCTCTGGCCCTACCGGGTGTTGAGATTGTAGTGGATATCGCCGGCGATAGCATTTTTGTAGGGAATTGTCGGTTGTCGCGATGGACTTGGGATCGTAGACTGCGATGTAGGGAACGATGCGATTGAGGAATGGACCGAACGGGAATTTAATGTTCCGGGCCAAAGCCGGCCCCGGACCATTTACGCCGGATCAGTGTCGGATGGTTTTAGTGGACGATTGCTAGTTAAACTCTCGCGATCATCATTCATTGTTCTTGAGATGCAGTAGAAAAAGTAACTTTTGGTATAAATAAAAGATATAAACGGATACAATGGTATAATGGTATAATGATCTATGTAAATAAAACGCATGTGTGAGCCTCAACTCCAAAGCGAGGCTCGCCAAGAACAGAATCGCGACACCAAAATAAAAAACACCAAGATAGATTACGTCAAAAAACATTTCCGCTATCCAACACAAATGCAAGAAGCTTCAATAGAAGGGCATGTGGGTAGTCTATCGTCTCCTCTTCTTGTTGTTACCCTCCTCCACCGGTCGGGCTTTGGCTTCTTCGGTGGCAGGGGACTTTCGCTTCATCGAGACACCAGCGGCAGGTTTCTCTGGGATATGGACGGCGGAATTCTTTGTCGCCCGCTTCTGTATGGCCCTCCAGTTGAAGAGTGCTGGGTCGTGTGAAGGATAGTAGTCCAGATTCCAGGTGCCCCCCTCATCGTAGTTGACCAGAGGGAGGAAAGGTCCCTGCATGCTTGGACGAGGACGAAGACTGTTGAAGCGCTCTTCGTTGCGCGTTGCAACCAATTCAGTCGGTTTGAGTGGCGGATCAGCCCGGAGCGCAGAAACCTTTGTCTCTTCGATGATATCCTGGAAACACTTCAGGTCCCAAGCTGCCATGCTTGCAAAGGCCCAGCGCGGTCGAATCCCGCTCTCGGGGCCGAAGATATGTGGAATCGTCCAGGCGTGGCTCAAGTCACACAGCTGGCCTTCGTAATACTGCTGGGACTTGAGGTCGCGCACGACGATGCCGCATTTATGGAGCTCGCGGAGATTGCGAAGCATACGTGGTAGATGCTTGATCTGTCTCTGTTCCGCTTCCCGTGTCATTCCACCTGTAGGCGTTCGGTGGTCGGGGATCCAGTCTTTGACGATAGCCATGATGGGTAGATCAACTTCATCGTCCTCCATTTCCATCACCTCCACCGAGGGAAATATGGCTCCCGGTAAGGAGTTCTGGACCGCCGCTTGGATCTGCTCGTCAATCTGGTGTAAGTAGAGGCGCAGGTAGCCGTGTACTTTGCCAGCGAGATGCTCCCGGCCAAGCTCCTTGAGGCGACCGTAGGCGCGACACTCGTTGTTGAAGGAAGTCGCATGGACACGTAGACTGTCGACCACATGCTGGGGCATATTCTCGCTGGCGGTCAATCGCTCTTTCTCGTATCTGTCGACGTGAAAGCCTTGGTCAATGGGGTCCAGTTGGAAGTTGGGCTCGTATACGAAGACGGGGAAGAACTGAGGGCGGGCGAATTAGCAGCTGGCATGGTGATTCTACCTAATTCACTGTACCTACAAGCTTGATGACGTAGATCTTGCCATCAATCTCGGCCTTGAAAACGGCTGAGTGACAGCCAAAGCCGAGGTATTCCAGGAACTTGAAGTCGTGCTTGGTGAGATCATCGGTGAAGCACTCAAGCTTTGGGCCTTCACAATCCGGTAGCGGTTTGAGCGTGGGCATTGTTGAAGACACTGTGGGTGGGGTCCGTTTTGAAACGAAAACGAATGATGATGAAAAGACAAGTTTTGGAGAGTTATTGAAGTTTGTTTGTTTTGCAGTCTGGTATAGTTGTCCTGGTTTCAGGTAGAGGAGTTTCTTCGGGGGGTTATTAACTTGGAGCCAAAACGCAGGGCGATAAGCGTGGCCAGACACAACAAACTGCCGTATCTCTTTCACTCATCCGCTCCTTGTCTGAACACGATTGCGAAAGGAAGATGAATCCAGAAATAGCACTCCAAAAAAAGGGTGGACAAACGACAACTGAACATGCAAAGCGCAACGCAACGGGGATACCGGCCGTGAATTTCTTTGTCGACGCCAGGGGAATGCGTCAGGCGGTCTCTGTAATGTCAATAGCGTATTATTAGCGGTCTGCATTGACCATCGGCAACTCACAGCTCCGCCAGTGAGAACCTGGTTTCTTTGTTACACCACATAACACGCCGCAGTCTAGTTGGTCACTCAGCCCAGCAGCACTCCCCTCTCATCACAATACAGCGCTTTTTTCTCTTCTACAGCAGCTCGTCCCCTAATTTTCATGTCGCAGACTGATGAGTTTGGCGCGCCTCAAGCAATCAAACCGCCGGGCAGCCATAAGAACAGGCTTGAGTTTCGCTCGTATCAAACGGTCGCTGCCTTGCCGTTGTGGCGGTCTGGAGTTATTACGGTAGCGTTTAATGGCGTAGGTAGCTGATCACCAGCTGTCCACAGTATTCCTTGGCACCTCCCATGCCTCCTGGTCATCGCGAAGTGTTTGGGTCGCAGACTGATGAGTCTGGCATGACAGTCAGCGCTATAACAGCAGGCACTTACTTGGCCACGTTAGATGAGCGTTGGACGTAAAGTTGACTGTGAATATCGGTCGACTGTGTGTTTTTCTTGTGAGTTTTAATGAAACGGAGACCTGGCTGCCGTTCGCTAACGTCCTGTCCTGACTCCCGTCCCGCAATGTAGGTCCTGTTTGCTCTGGGAAACGCCGCTAAGCACTTATGGGCCAAGTGAGCCAGTGAATTCATTCTGAGTTTACATGAGAAGTGATATTTCTCATCTCTTGGTGTCTCTCTATTGACACAGGAGTCAAGCCACATAGGTCAGAAATCAAAAGACAGGTCACATTTCGCTAGAGCTTTTTGTTGGGAAAGTTGTGAAGGGTTCTCCGGGGCCTGTCAACTGTCCATGAGCATGAGGGCCGTTTGGACACTGATAAATCCATCTTGCCCCCAGCTGAGTCGGAACGTTTATGTTTATTTCTGCTTTCGCATCTAAATCTAGAAATATTTTCCGGTTTTCGTATTATTGCATCTCGTTGTTTATCCCTACTACATCATCTACCTATTCGCGACCTCACCACCTCAAGAAAAAAAGCATGAGCCTTCCGACCTTTCAAAGCACTCCCGTGCCCGCTCTTGCTGTAGACATTAAGCAGAGTGTTTCAATCCGAAAGGCTCTCTCGCTACCGAATGCCACACTCCTCGGCGCTGAACATGCTTCATCGTCTATCAGAGACGACACAACCCGCCATGCTGTCAAGGCCTTGTCCATCCTGAAGTGGACCGACTTCAATCTTGAGGTCCTGGGAGACCTCTACGAGGACATCCTGGGCCAAATGGTTCTGTCCCCCAGCGCCGCCAAGAGTGGGCCGTTCTACATCGACAACATTGAAGAAGCCAAAAAGATGTTCCTTGAACACCTGGGCCCACGGCTTGAGGACCCCATCCAGCGAGGCGCGGCCCTCCTGGGCAGTCAGTTTGGTCACCAATTCCCCGCGGTCGTTGTTAAGCCCGGACGATCATTCGACAAGCAAACACCTACCCTTTCCTACGTGGCCGGCAACGAGCCTGATGCTCGTACCTTGGTAGTCAACATTTGTTTGCATGCCAACTCGTGGCACTCAAAGATGATTGGCGGCGACAAATCCACGATAGCTAGACGGCCCCTTGATCGTCTTGCTAAATACTGTCTCCTTGCCCGAACTCGTTATGGGTTCCTTATGACCACCAAGGAAATCGTTGTCGTGCGCATTCGAGGTACAGTGTTCGACACGCGCATGTCTTGCCATGTCGAATGGCAAGCCATTCCGTGGTCCGCACATGGTCCGTACGAACTCACCGCGTGCCTTTCGATCTGGTCTCTAGTAATGCTGAGCCTTGGTGACCTGCGCTTGTCAGGCTCTCCTCCGCATTACCTCCCTCCTCCCCACTACCTACCTGCACCCCGATCTCTAGACGTTTGGACACGCTACCGGACCACTAAAGGGTACTTTTACCGACACCTTTCTTCTGGGCAATGGTGCGCCGAGCTTCCGGAAGGAGCTGAGTTTGAGGACCCCCCCAATGGGACCTCCTCTTGAACCTCTTGAGCGTCTTCTCGTTGTCGCAAGGTTTGGCGACGTCGAACTCTGCATTTCTCCAATGTCGACACCTGACACGGGTCTAGTCCTCCCGACCTCGGCGCGACCATACAGCGGAGAGGGATAGCGCTTGTTCTTTTGTTTCTTTTTATTTCTTTGTCGTGCTGTCTGTCTCTTCCTTTTCTTTTCCTTGCGTCTGGCGGGTTAATTGTCGTGGTGCAGCCTTTTCCTTGCTTGTGTTTAGATCATTGTCGTCGCATGCCTGTCTTTACCTTGGATCCTTGTTGTTTGTCTCTTGTTTTTGTCGCGCAGTCTAGAAATTTAGACTTGATACCATAGAAGCAATCTCTTTCTCTTTCTCTCTCACCATTCACTCAACGATCGTAACTGTTTTCATCGCACGACTGAAGCTTGTGATTCCTCTTCTCTCACTTCTTGCGCTAGTGTCAATTAGCGCCTGTCACCTCTCATCTCATAAACTCCATGTCCAACATTCCGCCGTCCATGAAGCTCATCCCGTCTCCGAAGCCCCGCTCAAGCTCCCCACTCAACCCGACAAACGGTCCGTCCAACCCCACAAACGGCCCCTCAAGCCCCTCAAACATGTCCCCCGCCGGTAAGAAATCCGCCTCCTGCACAGCCACATCATCCACGTTCAGTGCTTCAAAGACATCCTTCCCCGACCCCTTCAGCTCCTCTCTATACACCGCCACAGCCGTCTGCGCCCTCTGGCTGAGTTCACCAACAACACTTCGCAAAGCTCTGAATGCCTCGTCGTCAATTATCTTTAGAAGCTTGTCGAAGAGATCGAGTGCTTTTACTGAGAGGTGCTGATCGATGTGGATTGAGTTGTGGCCGGGGTTGAGAATCATGTTGGCGAGGAGGACGATGAGCGCTGAGAAATGAGAGCAGCTACATTGCCTGCGCTGGTCAGTAATCTCCCGAGACTCTCTGTAACTGACATACCAAATTAGACATTCTGTTGGTGTAGCTTCCTGGAATAGCTTCATGCACCCTCTGCTCACGTCCACGCAATGATTCCATCCTTCAGGTAGAGGCGGTGCTTGGTCCTGACACTTCCCAGCGCCATCAAAGCCCCTATTCTCCAAGTTTCCAACAGAAGTTATCGTAGCTCTACTAAAAGAGCTGATCCTCTTGACCCATTCAGCATTATGGCTGTAAATACCATGATTCATCACTTCTGTCAGTAGAAAAGCGTGGTGCATCTTTGTCATCTGCACAAGCTGGCTCGGTCCCACCGTCGCAGCGACATGCTCGATATGAAAGACATTTGGAATGCGCTCGTACCACTGATCGAGCATAGATTGAAGTCGAGTTACCCGCCGTTGTCGCTCCTGGGCAGTCACCTTGCTTGAGCGGTTCGAGTACAAAAGATCGTACACTTTGCCTTGTATGTAAGCTAGTTCCACACGCCTTCGATGGTAGTTGAAGTGCACCTGGCCGTTTTGCGTCCATATCAAGCCAACGCTATCTGGTGGCGCAAGTGCAGGGAGACTAATGTCGATATCTTCATCAAACTGGCATGAAGGTGTTTGCGCACGAAGACAAATGTCCTAAAAACGTGAGCTTTTGAATTTACGCACTCAAACAACTTACCTTGTCAAGAGTGTACGCAATCCAAAACACGCGCGATCTCTGCTCTGCCTCTGCAGCCGGAAACTGCATCGCCGCTTCTTGCGAGTGCAACTTGAGTCTATGCGCCAGTCTAACCGCTGTTCCAATAAGAACACTCGCTGGTTTGGGATCGCGACTATTCTGGAACAGCATCACGATACCTAGAAGGATCTGAACGCCGAGTAAATCCTCATCGCGCGTGACAAGTTCTGACACAACAGTCTGTGCGTTCCTCAAACATTGATCTGCCTTTTCAATATGCACCGATTGACTGTCCCGTAGCGAGAGCTGTGGAGTGCGATATCCAATGGCCAAGACAGTCTGAATAGCAGCCCACGAAGCTCTATCTCGGGTCTCGGGCTGTTTATACCATGTAGAAAGAAGCTTCATGAACTCTGGCTGCTGAAAGAGAGGGATGACGCCGTTAAAGGTTGTAAAGTAGTGGTCTACTATAGGTAGAATCTCATCAAGAGGGGGTAATTCCAAAATGTTTGGTTGAGGACCTTGGTAAACGGCTGGATTAACTGGATCGAATTTCCAAACAAAACCCCTTTTCGCCATCTCTTCGAAATTTGCCGAGTTGTTGAGAACTGATTCCGTTGAGTCACTTGGACTGGGTTGGTCATCCGGCCTGGCAGTTTGAGCATCTTTGGCAGCGTTGAGAACAATTTGGAGCTGCTCCTCAATACGAGCCAATCTTGCCTCAAGACCTTCTTGCCGATTATTCCTGAGATAGTTACTAATTTGAACAGTAAAATCGAGAATAGGGGCATACTCTTCTTGTTGTTTAGCCCCTGCTCTGACCCTCGCAGAATTAGGCTTCCTTCTAATGATGCTAGTTCGACAGCTCGTATTATAGAGAATACAATTCGAACAATCTGGCTTTAGCATGTCACATTTAATCTTTTTCGTAAAGCACAAGTCGCAGGCTGTGGTATTTGTCAGCTGGGTTCATGTCGTAACTCGAGTTGCTGACCTTTGCGGCGATTAGACGGTGTAGGATCTATCTCAGCAGTAGACATGACTGCAATTGTGAAAATATTTAGTTTTAGACTTGAATTGGTAAGTTCCAGTGATTAAAAACGGTGAATACAGCGTAGGAAGAGTAATGTTGAGAGTTTTGTTGCAAATGGGCAGTGAGATGAAGTGAGGTTGGATGGCTGACAAATTCTCCGACCGCAGGGTTCCACATCGCCTCGTCGGGCTGTCGATCATCAGCCCTAAATTTAGAACCGTTGAAACGCCATGACATGACATGCATTTGTTTCAGGAGACGCAATCAATGACTCGGAGTAAATACCATACACTCTAATAACATGTCTAATCGCAATCAACCCATGATCTATCAGGCCTTGACCTTGCCGTATGGAACTTGAGGTCCCGAATACTGAATGGCACGAACAAACTCATTCTTATCTCCATCCTGTACCAGCTTCTCATACCACGCGCCCATATCCTGTCCAAATGTCTGCACAACTTGAGCGTCGCTCGCGTCAAGCGGTTCAAAGCCCTTTGCGATCTGCGCAAATTGAGCCCCAGCGACACCCATCCCCATCCCAAGATCATTCTCAACCATCTCAACCGGTTTAATCGCGCCCTTGACGCGTCCCTCGATAATATCACCAGCCAAACGCGGTTCTGCCGCCGCAGGCCGTCCAATACTAACCCCATCAACAACATCAAGCGCGTCTACCATGGCTCCCACCGTCCTCAACCCACCAGCGATAAAGATCTTCATTTTATGCGCTGGGTCAAGCGCTTTGGTGATGGTCTCCGCCCACTCAAGAAAGAACCCCTCCCGCTGCTTCGTCGACTCTTTCTCCCACGACAACGCCATGCGCTCATAAGTCCCGCCGCTGAGCTCAACAAAGTCGAAGCCCAGTGCTTCAAGTCTTTCGCAGAGCTCCCTCGCCTCATCGGGTGTAACGCCGCCGTCCTGGAACTCTACGCTGTTGAGCTTTGCGCTGACGATAAAGGTCGGCGAGACGCGCGCTTTGATGGCATTTGCGATTTCGGAAATGAGGCGGAGTCTGTTTTCCACGGTCTGCGTGCCGTATTCGTCGGTGCGCTTGTTGGTGGTTCGGGAGAGGAATTGAGAGAGGAGGTAGCCGTGAGCTGCGTGCAGTTCGATGCCGTCGAACCCGGCCTTTTCGAGATACTCGGCGGCGTGTGCGAACCCTTCGATGATTTGGGCGATTTCGTCTTTTGTCGCGGCGTGCGGCTTGCCAAAGGTCATTCCCATCTTGGGGTCTGTGACTGTCAGTACGTACGATGAAGCGCAGTGGGTAACTTACCGAGTTGAACGTCAGAGGCTGAGATGGCGACCGGGTTGAACTTGTAGGGAACCTGTCGCCCGGGATGGTTCACCTGAGCGAGGAACAGAGAACCGTCCTTCTTGGCTGCCGTGGCCAATTGCTTGAACTTTTCGAAGCGTTCGCCCTCAAAGGGAGCATCGACGGGAATGCCGGGAGACGCAGCGGCCCCGACGGAGGTGAGATCAATGTCTATATTGCCAGTGACGACGATGCCAAAGTTATTCTTGCCTTCGCCCCATCTAAAACTGTCAGTCAGGTCATTTAACGGCCCTGGGAGACTCACCGTCTGTACAGCTCAATCAGCTCGTCGGTCGGGATTCCTCTCTTGGAGACGATCTCAGGATCCCAACTAGCAAGCGATTCCGCCATGGGCGACTTGAGAAACCGGTTCTTTGCGACTCGGCCGGAGGGGAAGAGATGAAGTTCTTGAGCCAAGGGCTCTGGACTGACGTCTTTGGACGTGTAGCGGACAGGCATTTTGATGAGTGTGATTGAAGTGGTGATTGTAATTGAAGTTGTGTATTTTATGAAGTCTTTAACGACGTCTTTCGGTCGCCATTTATATACAGCAAGATCATGAGCACCATCATCTCAATTCAGCATCATTACAAAGCTAAGCACGTAACACCGCGCTGCGGACAGATAGACTCGCTCCATTTTGTGCATGTCCGATCCGAGAAGCAGAGTCCGAGCCAAAATGAATGCTCCACGGGCTTTCAGTAGCAGGGGATAGTCCAAAGATAATCCAAAATCGCGCCCATGGCATTCCGACGCAGCGCAGCCCAGGGTGATAAGCGTACAAGCTGCCCGGATTTGCGGTCCACGGCGTTCCACGGAGTTGAGACGGTTCATTATTCAGCATCAAGCGCGCGCGCGAATTACAAATGCGGAATTGACAATTAACAGTCTTTCGAAATAAGCGATTACGATTCATGGAGTTCTATTACATTTCCATCACTATTTTCTCCAGTCCTTTAGACTTGACCTTCCTGGCAGTCTTTCGCCTGTTGCCTGGAAGCTCATCCAACTTAAGAATCGGCAGTCGATGAG